ATATTGGCGTCGCGATGGAGCCTGTAATGGAAAAGTTAGATATTCATTCAACTTCGGAAGCTTTTGAAGATTACTTTGAAAGGTCCGAAATCTTGGCTATGACCAAGGAAGATGATGAGGATGTTAATATTGTGGCACGCTTCCTCACATTCATTGGAAAAGAAGCATACAGCTTATTAAGAACTCTGGTTATGCCGGAAAAGCCCATTTCGCTTCCTTATGCAGCTCTCAAGGATCTACTGCTAGACTATGTTCAGTATACAAATTTCGAATGTCGTAAAGGAGGGAGATCTCATAAAATGATTCATGAGGATATAAAAAATTCCACTACATTACGTCATCCCAACCCAGTTCATACTCATGATTATGCAGACAATTCATTGAGGAGCTGCAATGCATTTCACGAAATGGGCACAAGTTTAGTCAGTGTTTGTTCTGTGGCAAGTTCCACTCTTTGAATTCATGTAAATTTCGTAATTCTAAGTGCTTTAAATGTCGTGATATTAGACATATTCAGTCAGTCTGTAATACTAATGTTCATCTGATTGCAACTAATATTAAGACTTGTAATTCTGATTCCACTGAATCGAGTATTCATGATGATAATTTATCTTTATCAACGATTTCAAAAGACAGTGCAGAGTCATATGGCAGTTCAGAGTTAAATGAAATCCAGAATTCTTGTGAGAGAACAGTTCTTAATCAACCGATTTATCAGAATTCTCATGCTATTGTACCAAGTATGACTTTTCCTAATGATTCACATATTTCTAATGAAATTACTTGCAATATTGAGGAAAATATGTTAAATGAACCTAATCATGATCGGAAACCTGATGTGGTTTGGATAGATGCTGGTTTTTCTAACGATCCTACGCTCTGCAATGACAGTCCTAATGAATTTCATGAGAATATTTCATAAGAATCAAATCCTGATGTCATATCATATATTACCTATCCTCATAATGCATTTGATCCTTGTGAAAAACCTGCTCAATGCGAAGCACGAGTACTAAGTGACCTCGAGTTTGATTACATTTCTGATGATTTCATATCAACTGCTGTTTACCCTTATCACAAAAACAGTTCTAATGTTTACTCTAAACAATGTGAGAAATATGTTTTAAATGAAGCCACATTATTCATAACTTGGAGATATAAAGATCCAACATTATTTCGTGGGGGAGGATAGTGTTGAAAAATCTATGGTTCGAATCCTAGATATTAATTATTTCAGTACAAAACCGAGATGCTGGTTGTATACAATACTTCTATTTAAGCTGTGGCGGATGTGGTGTTTGAACGAACTAATAATACCGCTGTACTTGTTGAATGCTCGATTTCGAATTCCAAATACAATACATTCGTTTGTGCTTGTCTCTCACTTCTTAATTCAGTTGCGTTATTTCTGGGACTCTTAGTTCGTGCTATTATTCAGATAATTTAAAACATTATAGGAAACCAATAACCTGTTAAACAGCAAACAACACAGTTTCAGAAAAGGATTGTTATGTACAGCAGACCTCCTTATAGCAAAAGAACATTGGATAAAAGCGCTAGCCAACGGAAACTCAGTGGATGTTGTCTACATAGACTTCAGTAAGGCATTTGACAGGATGCCGACAAATAGACTGTTATGAAGTTAGAAAATCTTGGTATTACCGGACCTCCCTTAAAATGGCTTAAGGATTTCCTAATAGGTCGTAGACAGTAAGTAAACATAAATTCCAAGTGCCCCACCTGGAGACCAGTACTTAGTGGAGTACCTCAAGGTTCTGTCCTAGGTCTTTTACTTTTTATACGGTATGTAAATGACCTCTCAAGTATAGTACAGTCTCAAATTTTATTATACGCTGACGATGTCAAGATCTGGCGAGTAATAACTGGAAACACAGACGCATGTGCTCTTCAGGCAGACTTAAATAATATGATTAACTGGTCCAAATAGTGGCTGATGCCTATAAACGCGGCAAAATGTGTCTGCATTCACTTTGTGGATACAATGGTAAATAGGTACAGCATAGGGGAAGTGCCAGTACCCGTGGTCCGGTCTAGTAAGGATCTAGGTGTGATAGTGGATAATGTTCTTAAGACGACGAACCATTGCCGGAAGGTCGCAGCTAAAGGGTTTAGAACCCTATGGGCTTAGTTCTCACTAACTTATAAGTTAGTGAGAACTAAGCCCGAGAACATCTCAGATGACATAGCAGGCCAGTAGAAAAGCCAAGAACGAACAAAATACACGTAGCACACAGGCTTTCATACCGAATCACTAATACTTGGAACCTGTCACCTGAAGCAGTGGAATCCGTATATTCAATTAACTCTTTCAAGAGAAGGCTGGACAATTACAGAAAAATATTAGAAAAGGAATAACAAAGACCGTAGCCTTTCTGTCCATACAACACAAATCTGAAATCTTCCGTTGGTATATACAAAACGAGATTGGACCTCCACAGTTCCACAAGCTTCAGGGACTAATAATAGGTCGATAGACTTTCTATCCTTATTACTGCAGACTGAAGGCAGTATTGCACTTTGAAACTATGAGCGTGATTTCGGTTATTTGCGTTACCAGCGATACTGTTTTGTGATGTAAGATGGTTTACCTAGAATATCTCCTCTCAGACATATAGCTTAGGATTACAAATGCATATTACAAATCATGTATATATGCATCTATTCTGTACACACTTAATTTCTATTTAGCTTTTGCTTAAAATCACTTCTCGTTCCCTAATATTTCCCCAAACTTTGGTGAAAACCCCAAAAATAGGGAGATTGAGATCATGCAGTGTTGAGGTCATGTAATGTTGGTCAAGCCGTATGTGGTGAAGACTATTGAGCTTCACGGAAGTTCTGTGTTTCAAGACTCACTAACCCACCCCGTGAATATGATCTCATTGGGAGACCGGTAACTTTGGGTCTATGCTCCCAATAACTCAGTCTCCGGATTTATGGGTGGAATTTAAGGCTTTCTTAACGAAAGTAATAAAAATTGGTACTTTCCCCCAAAGGCTGGCACTATTTTGGGGAGACACTTCAGACCATTGTTAATGTTGGTGGTTTCCTTACGGTATTGCTTAAGCCTTTTGAGATGTAATTACAATTAATGGTATTTTTAATCTTATGATAATCAAATTCAGTAGAGTGAGGATTTTCAGCGGCTAGACAAGCTGCACGGCGGTTCGCCGAAGAAGTTTACTTTCAAAGTCTATTGAATCAGAGCCTATTACATTATGTGACTATGTTGGCAGTAGGTTATGGTGTCTCCAAAGAACTCATTATTTACAGAGACTCAAAGTTTTAGACTACTAGGCTCAACAATATAGTCATGGCTAGCGACCAACCTGGCTTCATCACACAAATTGTCGAGGGCGGCAGGATTGGGTTTTGAACTTTCAGCAACCCTCCTGATTTCTTCAGTGACATGTTTCGCTACAGTACTATATGTTTATTTAAATTCCCTGTAGTTAACCACGAGTGGACTTGGGTTACCGCAGCTGATATACTTTGTAAGTGTATCTCTATCTCGTCGCAATATGATGAGGTTGTTATTCCCATTGTACATACATTTCCTTATTTAGGGTGATATCATTTCTCAGGGCCCATCTTACACAGAATAGTCTAGTGTTGTAGGTTTACACGTTAATGTTGTGTTAACACGTTAGTTTTCGCTAATGCATCCGACGTACAGATAAGTATGTTAGGAAATATACGTTACATGTACATCGGTTACACAGGTTTATAGGTATCCATTCCATAGTATACATATAGGTATATTCGCCCGCTTGCAAATGTCAATGGTTCTGTTCCCTTCAAACTTATTTCCTGCAACTGAATGTCTCTTACACATTGCATGCATACCATAGGCGCCAATATTTTCGCCTGTGCACTTCATAGTATGCGCATAAGCACCTCTCCTTAGTATTTGCTACCACATCTTATTGTTATGTCTTCGGCCTGATGGTCCAGGCCGCTATTTTTACTAGTCACAGGGTAGACATTTCAGATTTCGCTTCTTTTTTCTGTCTCGGGGCATACCTTTTGTATATACCTACATAACCACAAGCTGTAACCCATGCAACTCATATATATAAGCATACATATCGGGCAACCCGCAAGATGTGATGGCTTTAGGGTTCGGACCCCAACAGTGCCATAAAGGAGCCGGGGTCGGGTTTTACTGTAAAAATTTTCTTCCTCATCGAGGAACTTCCTGAAAATGTTGCTAAGTAAATTCTCACCATTTAAAAACATCATCCATGGTCTTTGATGCAATTTACAGGTTGGCTTTCTGAGGACATTCCGTGGTCCAATTATGTACAGATATCTAAAGTGATGAGGCTACCATGTCAATTGACGTTTTCAACGCTCCTAGTTACTTCATATCTTGAACTGAGACCAAACGTATTTAGTCACAAATGACTTGTGATAAATAGTGTAATTCGAGGAAATGAATTATTAAGAACACCAAGTGTAGAATAATATTGTGAACAGTGTTATTATCACCCGTTCAAAGTCCTGTCATCCACACAGCCGTTGTTTGCTTTTTAACAATGTATTTGTACCACAGTCCAACGGTTTTTAATTTGAAAAGTCATTCACTGTGAAGCATCTGTAAACCTATTTGAATGTTGCTAGAAGTATTATTAACTAACTAGTACATCACTTAGCTAACCTATCAGTGTTACTCTCATCATATTTGCTTTTCGCTGGTGTTTTAAGAAATATCTCAATCCACGCGATCATTCTTTTTATTCAACTGTTTTCAAAATTACTCAGAAGTCCTTCGTCATAATGGTTATAGGTTTTCTTCGTATTAGGGGGATTTCAGGCAGCAGAAACCACACTTCTAAAAATCGTAGTAACAGCTTCATTTTAGCATTTTTACAAGGTTTTGAGCTAGTATTAGGATTTTTTGATGCATAAAGCAAAGGCTTTGTAACTATCTGTGGTGTCCATACTTTTGTTTGGTCCGTGTAGCGTGCAGACAAACCATGGAGTGCACTTCAGAACCAGATAAAGAATCAGAAAAAAGCTTGGACGAAGTATGCCAAAAAATGGATAAACTGACAGAATTAAATGGGGATTCGCCCGTAAAATTAGTAACGAAAAAGAAGAAAAAACATAAAAAGAAGACTGGAAAATGCGCAAGTATGTATAACATATCATTAATCAAGTCCCTGTTGAAGATGGTGACGATGCGACCCTGATGAAAGAAAATGAGACGGGAGATACTTCAGTTAACTGTGGTGAAAACATGTCCTCTGCTGTGAAAACGTCAAACAAGAAGTCTAAATCGGAAAATTCAGGTGTCATACGTCAGACGAATCCTCCTTCTATTCCTGTATGTCAGTTGTATCCTAAAGGAGACTACCCAGTTGGTCAGATTATTAATTATGAGCCCGACACTGATTGGTTAGTTCATATGTTTGATTTTCTCCTCATATTTTTAAGTTTATTTATATTTTATCTGTGAACGTATGATATATATTTTTCATTACGATTTCAGTATTCTCCTTAAGTAGATAGTTACTAAACGTCTCACGATTTTGAGTGTCAGATCTTCTCACCAGTCATCTAAAAGCTTAAACAAATCGAATTGATCAAATGTGTTGACAATTTCCAGTGTATTTCTAGAGGCTTGTGTTTTTGCCCTAGTTCACCAATAGTCGTTCTCCCAGTTTTAGTAAAATGACCTCTCAGTAGCTCAACTACGTTCCTTGAACATTTCATGGTAGTCTAAGAAGTGATCACTCTTGGAAGGTACAGAGATAAATATGGTATGTTATAAAGAAGAAATGTGTGGTCAATAGTACTTTTTATTGCTTAAATTATTATAGAATAATCGAATGATAAATGATCATAAGTATCGAAGTATTCAGGCCAAATTGACCGATCATAGACAATGACCTAATGGTAGGTGGTGAAGTAATTGAGTAGGTTTACCACTCATCACGTCCGGTTGTTTGTTATTTGACGAAATCTTGAGATGGTTTCGGAAAGCTCGTCTGGCTTTTCTCCGACGAAGAGACTAGTCTACTGTTCAGCGGTTCTCTGTGTTTTGTTTTATGAGTGTAAACTTCGGTGCTGAAAAGCAGAGGACATTCGTAGGTTCTTATTTTTGGGTCACAGGTGTATTTGAAGTATTACTTATGTATCATTTAAAAATGGAGTGAGGAGTGAGGAGGTTAGTTGAATTTTGTCCATAGATTAAGATTACTAAGTACTTAATTCTTCTTGTAGTCGTACAGCTATCAATCGCACAACATCAGAAGAGTGCAAAGCTCGTGACAATGCTCATATAGAGATCTATCAACAGTTTCGTGAAGGTGCAGAGGTTCATAGACAAACGAGAAACTATATTAAGAAATGGATACGTCCGGGTATTCGTCTCATCGATATGTGTGAAGAACTCGAACGCACTAGCCGTGCACTCATTTTAGAACGCGGATTGAATGCAGGCTTAGCTTTTCCAACAGGTTGTTCAATTAATCATTGTGCAGCTCATTACACTCCTAACGGGGGTGATAATACAGTTCTAAATTATGACGATGTATGCAAAATTGATTTTGGAGTACATGTAAATGGTAAGTCAACATTGTCTTTGTTGATAGGTAGTTAAGGTATCTTACTTTTGATAGACTAAACAAGTTTTATCAGTGTAGAGTTGTAGAGACTGTTGATTTTTGATATATCATGAACCGATCAATGTTAGACTACCGTTGATCGGTTCTTAATTCAGTGCTTTACCAAGTTTTACGAAATATAACTATGTCAACGTAGTTAAAGTTAATCGCCTTGCTTGTGTAAGCTTAATTTTTTGTAATCTATCGCGATTTCCTGTCGGTCTAAACATTTGGTTAGTGGTTTTGGAAAGAAATATTGCTTCCTATTGATATGAAGGTAAATCATTGTATTGTGGGGACCTATTCGATTAGTAGTTTTGTCCTAAAAAACATAAGTCAATATGTTTTATATCCATGAAAGCATAATTAAACAAGTTTCCTGCTCAAATACGACTGCCTTTTGTTCATTTTTCTGGCTTTCAACTATTGATCTTGCAAATTTTTATGCACCTTGTTAATAAGTCGGCATACTACATATTATTAAAACGCAGTTTAAACAATGGCTTAGTGGTTAAATAACTTTGCGCCCAACTACCGGAAAGTAAGACCGAACTCTTCTCCAATTACTTTGGTTTAAATCATACGCTTCTTACTGCTAGTCCCCACACAAATTTTAACTGAAAATGAGTACATGGATGTATACTTGATATCTCAACTATTTGATTGAATTACCATCAGTAATCCGATGAATTGTAGTATTGTAATAATCATGTACAGTAAAATTTCAACATCTATCTTCGAACTAATTAAGTTGAGTGAACAAATATTTTTGTTTGTTGTATAATTCATAACTGTAGTAGCTTATAGTATTTTTGGTTTAATTTCAGGTCGTATTATTGACTGTGCTTTCACACTTCACTTTAATCCTAAGTTTGATACTTTGGTAGAGGCTGTTAAGGATGCAACTAATACTGGTATTAAGGTATGTTTATCTATTGTAATATGAACTATCAAATTTATCCACACTGGCCTGCGTCAACACCTGAACTAAGGGATAGGGAGTGAAGTTGTCGACGAGTTCGACTACTTCATTCATCGTGGAAGTCTGATCAGCCCTAATGGGTTAGTATCTGACGTAGTCGTTGCACGGATTCAGAAAGCTTGCTTGGCTTTTGCCAACTTACGTCACCTATGGGGAAGACGAGTATGCTGTGCAGCAGTTCGTTCTGTCCTACTTTATGGCTGCGAAACGCGGCCATTAAGGGTAGAAGATAGTAGTAAGTTTCTAGTGTTTGATCTTATATGTCTTAGAAATACTGCTCGCATCTGCTGAAATCACCGGGTAAGTAATGATGAAGTTAGGCGCATGGTACTAGAGATTAATGCTAAATCAGTTGATGAGCTTGTATATCTACATAGACTGAGATGGTTGGGCCACGTGTTACGTATGCCTGAACACCGACTACCAAGACTCACAATGCTGATAAGTGTCGGAGACGGTTGGAGGGAAGTTAGGATCAGCCAAACCAAAACGTGGCATCAGTGCTTGATGTCACTAACTTCTGGTCTGAGTCATGTTAGTAGATGCAGACCACTTGTTTGAGGTCCGTGCGACTATCATAACCAATCGTTGAAGACTCTGGGTGATATGGCTCAGAATCGATCACATTATTGCAGGTGTATACACTCTTTATCTTCACTTAAACTGTGAGATTAAAATTGCTTTATACTCTTATTTCAGCGAATTAATTCTTTCTTCCGGTACTATTTCGTTATACACAATCTTTCTTTTATATATTACTAACATTGAAGTAACTGCTTCTATGAATTTGGTGTTTATCTTGTTGTGCTAATCGGGTATGGCAACTTGAATCGATGCATATATGTGCTTGGTCCTACATCGTAGCTGACTGACTGATCCACATGTATGTATTATTGGTATCTGAAGGTATTTACCTAATAGCCTTATGATAGCAGTCTGAAAGTTGAGCTGTTTTCCAGTACATAACGTGCCGGACTTCCAGTGACTGAATTACGAATAAATCTCCTACACCTTGCACCAAAGAGATGGGGTATCTCTTACTTCGTTGGCTTGACTCATAGCCTGCCACATAAACTTCTTAAGTTTCGTCAAAATTACATTCTGTTTTGTAATATGTCAAAGAGTAGAATTAAACAAAGTTGGCATTTTAGTGAGCAAATTTTTATTCATAGACTATTGTAATGAGTTGAGATCGTGCCAATTTATGGCCACTATGATCGGTAGAACTGTAATTCATGTTTAAGGACATCAAGTGATTGGATTGATACAAATATATACATTCTTCCTCTCCCTCTGGTATCATTGAGCATAGTATTGCCGTTTCGGCGATCAATCAAGATAAAAAAGCGCGTAAGCGTTTTCAAAGATTAGATTATTGTAGCCTTTATGTTTTGTAACACATTTGAAACATGGGTTATTGAATTTTAAAATCGCAATATATTTGGATTTACCATTGACTTGTGTTCATTGTTTTTATAAATTTAAATACCGATCAACTTGTGATTATGAATTCCTCATATTGTGCAATATTAGGCAGCTGGCATTGACGTACGTTTGTGTGATGTTGGAGCAGCCATTCAGGAGACTATGGAGTCCTATGAAGTAGAATTAGATGGAAATACTTACCAGGGTAACTCGCTTGCTATCATGATTTTAATGAGTTATTCTTAAAAATTAATTCCAGTTTCCATAATTTCTACTGATCCAATTATTTTTTACGAATAATATACTAAATAAAGTTAAAGCAATTACTTTTTAAGTCTCCTGCATAATAATATATATACATATATGTTTGTTATATTCCAATGAGTAGAAAAGTTGTATTTTTATAAATAACCGACATCTATTTACTCTGAAGAAGTGGCTTACATTAAGTCACGAAACGTCAGAAAAATGATTTTTCTACTCATTGGGATATAAGAAAAATTATATTTAATAACTCTCTACCCCAATTGTCAATTTATTTGAAACTATCAAGTCCAACTTGTATGGATACCTCTTGCATAATACTCGTCAAATATAAAAAAAAAGTATCTTAGTATCACAGATAAAACCAATCATTTATACCTTTAGCTAGGCTGATTGGTGGTGAAATTCTATTGATGTATTTTGTTGGACGATTTCGGATCTAATAAATGAAATTTGTGGTGGGACTGAAAGAATTCGAACTACACTAATTAGTACTTTCAGTTAAATATTGTGGTATTAATATTGTAGTACAATTAATGGACTGAAATTTGTAACACGGGTTGTGGATCACGAGAAATTCGTAAAGATGAATAGGCTATCTTGATTTTCCTACCATATGGCACTTTTTAAAACTTAACTGTTTTGGTTTGTCTCCACATTTATAGTTGTGACGATCAGTTGTTTATATAGATGATTTTTCTTGTTATACAAGTAACCGTGAACATTATTTTTAAGAGATTGAGAATATTTGCATGAGTCCACAAAACAATATTCAGCAACGAGAAATGGTAAAGAAAAATGGAAGTCAACCCAAATAAATAATTTGAGTATATGAATACACAGATAAGTTGACTATGAATAATTTAGCCAGATGAATTATTTGAAACATTCTCACATATTCTTTCCTGATTTGTATGTTCAAACTTATATAATCTTTGCGACATAGTTCTTCTGTGCAAGTTATACGGCTATTTTTCTCGTTTGTCCTAAATTTATCTTGAGAAGGATCTATCCGTGTGAGTAATCCCGCAATATGTTTATCAATTTAGGTGAGTACATTTATTTGCTATAGATGACTATAGGATTAGATACCATAAAGTTTTTCCCTCAATCCAATTGGTTGTTGTTTCTAATTTTATTATGTATAGTTGTTTGTTTATGTTATTCTCTTTTTACATGTAATTATGCTATGATAATTAGTATAATAAATCACACTATTATATCAATTCAGTGAAACCTATACGTAATTTGAATGGTCATTCTTTGGGGCCATACCAAATTCATGCGGGGAAAACTGTACCAATCGTACGTGGAGGGGAGCAAACTCGTATGGAGGTATGTCCATTAATCATCTGTGTGATTCTTACGTTATTTCGTTTTCAAAATAAAATGTTAGCTTAATATTACCTTTTTTGTTACGATTTTTTTAAGGAAAATGAATATTATGCAATCGAAACGTTTGGTAGTACAGGAAAAGGTTATGTTATTGATGGAGATGAAGTTTCGCACTATATGAAGAATTTCGACGTTAGACATGTTCCTCTGAGGTACTTTTATTAACTTTGTACTGATTCAATAAAACCGCATTTTTTAATTGTACGGTTCTTAGTTTATCAGACTTTTTGTCGATCTAACACTGTTATTAACTCAGTTTGGAAAAAATCTAGTTTTTTTACAACACTAACTAGTACATGAAAGGTTTTATATCAGCTGTTACTTCCATTCCCATCTCTGTAATTCTACGTCAATATTTCTTGCACCGTACTGATGGCTTTGTAATTCATCCTGTCTAATTTTTCCCTTCTCACGATTATTTCGCCAATTACAGTCTGTGAACTTCAGTGACTCAACACCGTACCTTCTAGGTTGACATTCAAATATAGTTTTACGAAGTTACGAGCTTGTATAACTTCATATCTTTCGGTACCTAGGGTTCTAACCAAATAAACACGAGCAAAATTTATTAGTTAGTTCGACTATTCAGTCTTTAATTCATTGTCTGCTTCGTGTTTCAAGATGTGAAATATTATCCTGTTCAGAACAGCTGAAACAGACGTTTATTTCTTTTTGTTTTTAATTTACTATTGATTCATATCGTATACTATCTTCTATCCCACAGCCCGTTTCGCTCTCTCCTCTCGGTCATACTGATATCAAAAGGCTTTAATTGAATATGTTTACTACCTACAACCAAACCTTCCAAGCGTGAAGATCATTTGAAATAAAAAGTCTAGTTAAACTCTATAATTGTATTAAATTTACTGATCCTTTTTAAATTGGTGTGTTCTACGTTCAGAAATCGAACTAAACAGTTGTTCTTTTGTTTCAAATCTTTGGAATTTTTAACATTCTTTTGGATTTCATTTTCTTATTGTGTAGGTTGGCGAAATCGAAACAACTGTTGAATGTGATAGATCGTAATTTCAGTACTCTTGCATTTTGTCGCCGTTGGTTAGATCGTTTAGGTGAGACAAAATATCTTATGGCCCTAAAGAACCTATGTGACGTTGGAATAGTAGATCCATATCCGCCTCTGTGTGATCAACGTGGTTGCTACACTGCTCAATGGGAGCACACGATTTTGCTAAGGCCAACATGTAAAGAAGTTGTCTCTCGTGGGGAGGATTACTGAGTAACTTCCAAGTTTTTCATTCAGGATTCACTGTAGACGTTATAAATTGTTTCGATATTTTGATAATATTTGAAAGATTTATTTTCGTTTGAACATGTGTCCAAGATACAGTTTGATATAGTATTCCACTATGTGTCTCAGTCATTATTGTTTTAATTGATTTCCCAGCGCTAACAATCCTTCTTAAGGCTCTCTGCTTATCAATCTTTATTTTGACCTCAACATCCGTGAGTTTATATCTATATTGTACACTTTCATGTTTTTATAGTAACAACTAGGTTTTGTAAATTAAGTCACATCTAAATAAAGTCCAGTAATATATGAATTCTAGTTTTCTGTCTATTTATTTCCTTTATGCTGTAACACAAATTTAATTTCATACAAATTTAATTAGTATGCTATTCTAGCGGAGGGGATATAAAATGAAAGTGGATTTTGGAAGACATACACCTAGTAGCTTTTTAACGATCTTTCTATTTGTAATTGTGTGTGATTTTTCCCTCGATCTGACTGTAAATTCATAGGTAATTAGGTTATCATTATCGCATTTGGTTGTTCCACAATATTCGTCCAGTAGACCTCATACAGTGCTACATACTTTCAGAGGAGAGTTACTCTTCCCATTCTAGCAGTGTAGTAAGAGGTATTTCTTCAAATTCCTGCTTAGTTTTCAGCTGATTGTACTTTTTTCTTAAAACATCATTTGTAAACTATAATGAGTAGAAAATAATATACCAATCATTCAAAGAAGTCAGCTTTGGAAGTTGATTTTGGAATAGATAAGTTTGCACAATATATGAATATTGATAAAATATTTTCATTACATAAACATTGGATTATGTCTTCTATATCGGTTGAATCTTTACAAAAATCTTAATACAAGCACGGAGTGATTGACCCACGTACTCAATTACTCGCAGGAGTGACGGCACTACCTCGCGGTTTTAGTGGGTACGCTACACTTTGTGGGTTTGCTAGTGACGTTTGTGGACCTTATGGGACCAAAAAAGCCTATTCTCAAACGCACAGACCTAAGCGATGAACAAGGGTAAGATCAACTGTTCCAAAATATCAAATTAAAACATGGCTCATCAACAGGGGTGTTGACACGTATACGGGAAGTCACTGGTTGACGGGCCTTTGACGGCTTTTTAAACGGTTCTTATATAGGGTGTCACCAGTTCTTGTCTCATTTCATAGTAACTCCGTGAACAGACTGGCTGCGTTTGCTGATCAGTTTGTGGCGGTCGATAAGACTCACATCACCGAAGTTTGTTCAGTCAACGAAAAGCCTTAAACAAGAAAATCATAGATGGCCGAGCATATGATTGACCTGGGAATTGTCCGGCAGCCGAACAGCCTATTGGTATCGCCTTTGTACAGTCTCTGAAAGAAACAGCGACGACTGGCCTCCAAATGTTGGTTATAGGTGAATTTATACATAAGCCAGTACGTTGTTCTCGACTTACTCCAAAAACAAGGCATTGCTGTAAGTATTCGGAAATGCCAGATCAAAACTGATTCACATGATTTTCTCAGACATTATCGACGACCTAGGTATTCGCCCTCGATAAGGAAACTCGAGGCCATTCTAGATCACCAGGAAACAACTGTAGTCAAGCAACCTGCGCAATTAAGATAATATCTTAGCTATTCCGAAAACATACAAGAACGAACGCTGGAATTTTTTCGTTATTCGCTATTCCATCACGTGGAACAGATTCCGGAGGCCTCCATTGCAGTGAAACTATAACATGACTCGAAGATTTAGATGACTTTCTCCTTAAAATTTGTTTGTGTCACATATTAAATATTAGTGTGATTACCAGTGATTTATACAAACAAGGCCCGATATCTATCCAATGGACTACAAAGTAAATTAGAAACTCTGAAATTTCGTTCGCTAATTTTTTATACATCTAGATATCCGAAGTACACCTATGCACATATTTATTATTGTTAGTATCATGATTATTCCCTCTGATAGATTAGTTATTCTTTTGTTTTCTTCTGTTTTCCGTCTGCACATATCTCACTTTTAAACATCTTAAGTTGATAACCAAAACGTAATGTATTCTCGAAAGCGCTCCTGATAAGCTGAGGTTGGCCATAAACAAGTTCGATCACGTTATGATTACAAAAATATTCGTCGATAGAAGAGTCTATCGTCATCTCCCTTTCATATGTTCCCTAAAATCGATAGAATTGATTGGTGTTCACCCATTATCTATCAACTACTGAATACGACCTCCACTCTCGACCGTTAGGTCCTGCTGCACTTCCACTCTTTGACAGCTACTTCAAAAGGCATACCGATGTTTTCGAAAATCTGTTTAGTAAAAGCTTGTAACCAATTTCCTATGGCTGCACACAACATCCCTCAAACAGCTCTTATCTTAACGCCTTCGGACTCGACGAATTTTGCGCGTGCCTTTTGGTTTAAGAAACGCTGAACAAACTTCCCGGAGACCACTGAAGACGTCTTTTGAGGTTTCAACTCCCTACACATATATGTAAAGGACTGTTGTTTGCAAGTCCGGAAAAAGAATTTCTTCTCCAAAATCTGGACCTTATCTTCGAACGACTACAGAAGCATGAAATTATTGTAAACAATTCGAAATTTCAAATCAGCACCAACTCCCTAGATTTTCTAGGACACACTATTAACGCTTAAGTTCTTTACTCTCAAACACGTAAAGTTCCGAGTACTCAGGATTACTCAAAACCGACAACAAGCAAGCATTTACGCATGTTTAACGACCTGGTAAGTTTCCATTGACTGTTCATACCAAACTGAGCGACTCTAATGGTACCTTTAACCGACCAACATCATGAAAGTGAGAAATCAATCAATTTGGACGACATAGCAAAACGCGCAATCTGCAAAGCTAAAGAAACTATCTCAAAAGCGACCATATTTGCATACCAAGACGTCAATCGAGGTATAACATTTTCAATAGAGAACTTCCACCAATGAATTGTGCTGTACGGCACTTCTAATTCTCTATGGAAGGCCGGGAACTCACTAAATCTTTTGGTTGTTGACCTCACACAATTTTTGTTTGTTCATTTTTATACAAGTACTTCACTCGACAGCCGGAATGTGCCTCGCAGTTTAATTCAAATATACAGCATATTTCAGGGTGAACAGTGTAGTGGCAGATGCCTTGTCTCGTATAACTTTTTTGGACAGGTATTGGCCTCCTTGAACGCGATCAGCTTCAAAAGCAAGACTCCGTTCGTCAGCACGGGGTACCCTGGACAACCCCGAGACTGTGAATCGAGAAGATAGCAAAAGGTTGTGAAACTTTACTATATGCCCCGTCTACCATGAGTAGTAGTCCAATCGTGGCGAAACAGTATCGACCTAATGTCTTTGATAGGTTGCACAAAATTTCCAACCCACGTGTTTTTCTACTTCGTGATTGATTGTGAAGACACCTTGAAACGTGATAAAAAGGACCCTTCAAAGTCCTTTATCGCAAAGCTAAGTACTACACAGCCAATGAAACCAAAGGGCATTAACCGTAAAAAAAGCGGCTTATTTAAAAAAACATTGATTATGTTGATCTTTCTCCTCTAAAATTCAACAATACAATCTTCACAGTGAAGATACTATCCCATATACTCAATAATCACGACGGAAGTTCATTAGAGTTCAATAACTAGACCAAAATATCTGTTGTGTAAGGTCATTTATCAGGAAAAGAATAGGTTCTATTACTGAATCCTGAATGACCCTACTAAGACATTACTTATCATGAGAGAAAGTGAAGTTAGCCCTGACCTAAATACGTCGAAGTTTTAGACATGAAGTGAAACAACCAATTAAAGGCGATTTGACTCCTAATCGTTTAAGCTTATTGATAAGAAACATATAGTTGACCCTATCATGGTAAATGATGTCAACCTTCCCCTTGCTATCAAGGATGGTTGTTCACCTACCCACCGCAGTCAGCAGGTTGTTCGGGTGAAAAATGTTTATCGATAATGAGTGACCGTCTATACCGTCGCATATCAGGGACTCCATAATTTTTCGGTAATGTGTCTCAGCTTAGCGAGTGTGAGAATAGATGAGAAGTTCTAGAATCCACGTCCTTCGTGGCTGGTCTCACCACTTGTTGATCCAATATATTTTTGAGCTTCACGGACTGCTTGATGAATGCCCATTTTCGAACATTAGAGTCTGTGTGGTCCGGATCCGTATTTGCTGGTACACATTATAGAACGATATTTATTACGCCGATAAACTTCTCGCGAGATTCATTATGGATGTTCTGGATGAGATTACGCTCAGAATACGATATATCAGGCAGCATTCTTACATTCCCATCTGATTTCAGTAAATGATCAGCCAACATTATATCCTCTACGACTTGTGTGATTTTGAAGCTTGGGGTGCTTTTTCCGAGTAAGCCATGTTACCGTCAAAGGCTCTATTTTGAGAAGGTTGTGCTTCTCTCAGAGCATCCTATCGTGTTTGTTCTGAAAGCTGAGATGAATGTCAGGGTTGTCTTTAACGTTCATGATTATGGGAGAATCATCACAAATCGTGATTGTTTTCCCAGTTTTTCGGTTACATTCAGGTTGATTACCATGTTGTTTGTTGGTGAAAGAACGTTTCTGATTTCTGTGATCTTTGATGACCGTTTGGAAAGTCTTGAGAGCAGACTGTACGGTCATATAACCAGTTGATTTCATTACAATATCTGGATGTTCAGTTTCTTAAACGGTGACACCCGGTCATTTTTAACTTTGTTGACGAGGGTACAATCTCATACAGGGATCCTGTGCTTGGCCACCCAAATTTGCTGGAGGAGTCTAGTACCGTCGATGTTATGATGGTGCTAGTGCCATTGCAAGCCCCGTTGATACTAGCGTTGTCGAAATTCATAGTCAACTATTTACTCAGTTTAAAACTCAAAAACAAAAGTAACCTATCGAACATAAAGCACAGGATAGATTCTTTGGATCAAAAATGGCACTTTTGTTGCGTAAGGAAACAGCAAAAGTTTGAGAAATGCAAATCACATTAGGATCAAACTCCCGGTTTGTAAAGTGCACGCTGTCAAGCTCTGAATAACTATGGGATTCTTGACTTTTATATGCCCAGATCCTTATTGTGAGAAAAAAGAGGTCCATAAATTTATAAAAATGAAGATTCGCTATACAGAAGACTCTTCTATTTGTTTCCACAAGCATTTAAATCATTAGAAATACGGTTAAAGTATCTTGGTTTTCATTTTCAAAGAAAGCAGAGTTACTGGAAGATTTTTGTCCTTTAAATGAACAAAGACACCCCAAGAATCTGTTTTTGCACTGTCGAAACCTTAATACGAGTGTGAAATAATCGGCTAAATAACATTGGTCTGTCATAACGATATTGATGATTGGTTGTCAACCTTGTTAGTGACCTTGTTAGTACTTCACGACAATACGACTATCGTCAATTTGAATTTTTTCGACTTGGTTTGTGAAAGTGTTCAGCGGATATTAGGTGTTAAGTCTATGTATTTTGTCTGTAAAAAAGTGTTTTTTGTTCCGAGAAGTTTATACTTTATTAATATTACAATGCTGTTACTGTTTTTAGACATTTTTAGCAATCCATAGATTATAATCTTGCACTACCGAAGCTGCCTGCTTTGGTGAAATTTAGGAGAAATCCCCAAAGTGAAATAGCCTTCCCGAAAGTTTGGGGGAATGTTTGGGTGTTTTGGGAAAATTCCAAAGTCAAATGACTTTCATCAAGGTTAAAGGGGAATTGTGGGGAGATATTGGGGAATTTCCACATGTCTAGGGGAATTTCGGAGTTTTAGTGCTTTTTTACCCAAAGTTAACTATAGCGGCTTCCCCAAAATGGGTCAAACTTTCACCAAAGTTGGGAGCTTGTGTTGTTTTCCGATATCTTCTCGAGGTGTACAAATATGAGGTAAAGTTTAGATGTATGGTGGCTGATTGAGGAATGTGGGAGTAATCAGGCCGGAACGTAGCTTTTTGACAGCATTTTGCGAGATCTATATCATATATTTCTTTTTACCATTTTCGTGCCAACAAGTGATCCTTTGGAGAGTTTATTTATCTTATGATACTCCTAATCGGTTATGTTTTTGACTGGATGTCTTGAGAAAAGTTCATCTGAATCTAAATATGTCACGGGTGCACATCAGTCGAATAAGAATTCATAAGTGAAAGGACGCAGAGTTTATACATATCAAATGAATTATGTGAACAGCAGCATTATTATACTACTCCAAATCTAATATTTCATATTATAATAGTATATAAAGTTTCCATCTATATGTGAAAAATCGCGTGAATCTTCAGTATTTTCAAGTTTAGCTAAGTAATATTTATATTGTGGCATGTCATTATAAAAATGTTATTACAGCATAATCATGAACGGGAATACACAATTATAGAACCATCTAAAAAATCAGTTATCCAGAATGCATGTTGTAGACGATTTTGATTTGAAGCAATTTATCGGCAAGTAAAAATTTGGAAAAAACGTTCTCTATACAAATCACTTAGCACACAACTATAAAAAGGGACTGATAGTGAAAGATGAAATGATCAAAAACCAGACTCGGACGTCTGGTTTTCACCTAGTCCAGTCTACAATCGAAACGCATGTACGTCGCTGCATAGTTACTGTTAGTTTATATGTGTTCAGTGGTGTGATATAATCATGGTATTAGTAATATCAAGTGTCGTGCATTTAAATATTTATGACGATTGTATCTATAGGATTGTTGCTTCCATTAAGTTGGGTCTGTAGATTAGCAAAAGAGATGGAAAAGGTGGCGACTATAGGGAACACAAGACAGCTTTATGGACTAATAAAAGAAATTGGAACTAATAAGTCAAGTGTAAGTGAGATTATTTCGGAAAAAGACGATACTCTCATCTACTCCCAGTCCAGACGTTTAGAACGATGGGCGGAACACTTTAGGGAACAGTTCAGCTGGCCTTCAGCGACTCTACAACTACCCTCCATTCCCAGACAGTGTGAATGGAACATTGAAGTAGGTCCCCCAACTCTAGCAGAAGTTCAAAAGGCTATAGTTAATGTGAAACGAGGAAGGGCAGGTGGTCCAGATGGATTGGCTCCAGAAGTCTTTAAGGATGGTGGTGCAATTTTAGCGATTAGGTTGACTAATATTTTAGCTAAGATCTGGGAGTTAGACGTTATTCCATCTGACTGGTCGCAATCACTTATCGTCCCAATATATAAGAAAGGGTCAAAATCATCTTGTGACAACCACAGAGGAATTAGTTTAACTAACATAGTATCTAAAATACTAGCTTCGATAATTATCAGACGCCTAACTAAGACTCGTGAACTGCAAACAGAAGAGAACCAAGCTGGCTTCAGACCTGGTCGTGGCTGCATCGACCAGATATTCACCATTCGTCAGGTTCTAGAATACAGGCATACTTATCGGCGACCGACAGTGGTGGTCTTTCTTGACTTTAAAACAGTATTTGACTCTGTAAACCGCGAGATTCTGTGGCAGTGTCTGTCATTGAAAGGCGTACCTCAGAAGTACATAAACCTTGTGAAGGCTCTTTACTCGAACACTACTAGTCGAGTCAGAGCTTATGGCGAACTGTCATCTGCTTTTGCAACTTCAAGTGGTGTCCGTCAAAACTGTCCACTTTTTCCATTTTTTAAAATTTCATCATAGACCTACTGATGAAAACAACTTTCTCGCCGACTGAGTTCTCGGGTATTGATCTCCTTCCAGGAGGTCCACTTATCGACTTAGAATACGCAGATGATATAGTCCTGTTTGGAGAAGACGCTGACAAAATGCAGAGTATTTTAATAGCACTAAGCAACAATGCCAGAATGTTTGGAATGCGCTTCTCTCCCTCTAAATGCAAGTTGTTGCTCCAGGACAGGCCTGAAACAACACCTGAACCAAGGATAGGGAGTGAAGTAGTCGAACGCATCGACAGCTTCACATATCTTGGAAGTCTGATCAGCCCTGATGGGTTGGTGTCTGACGAAATCTCAGCACGGATTCGAAAAGCTCGTTTGCTTTTGCCAACTTACGTCACCTATGGGGAAGACGAGTATTCTGTGCAGCAGTTCGTTCTGTCCTACTTTATGGATGCGAAACATGGCCATTAAGAGTAGAAGACACCCGTAAGCTACTAGTATTTGACCACAGATGTCTTATAAATATTGCTGGTGTCTGTTGGGATCACCGGGTAAATAATAGTGAGGTTAGACACAGGGTATTAGGTAACGATGGTAAGTCAGTTGATGAGGTTATAAATCTTCATCGACTGAGATGGTTGGGCCACGTGTTACGTATGCCTGAACACCGATTACCACGATGTGCAATGCTAACCGGTGCTGGAGATGGTTGAAAGAAAGTTAGGGGCGGACAAACCAAAACGTGGCATCAGTGCTTGAAGTCACTAACTTGTAGTCTGAGCCATGTCGGTAGATGCAGACTACTTGGTTGGGGTCCGCGTGACTTTCGTAACCGATTGTTGGAGACTCTTGGTGACATGTCTCAGAATCGATCACAATGGCGTCGGTGTATACACTCTCTGTCTTCCCTTAAACTAAGAGATTAAAATCGCTTTATATCTTTCTTTCTACTAACTAATTCTTTCTTCCTGTACTGTATCCTTATTGCAATCTTTCTTTTATATATTACCACCTTTGACCTAACCACTCCTATCAATCCGGTGTTCATCTTGCTGTGCTAATGAGGTATGGCAACCTGGACCGATGCATATGTGTGCCTGGTCCTACGTTGTAGCTGACTGACTGACTGACTACTGATTATTAAAAAAACACAGGTTTTGTTATAAACAGTCTGTGCAATGTTAGACTTCCTTGAAACGGATCGTATCTCGACATAGACATCTACAAATTACTGTTTAAGATGTCTTATGTGCTATGATTTTTACTTTAGTGGTTGAAGGACAATCATTCATATTCACTACGTTCCTTCATCATCTGTTATTCACTATGATGTGTAATTATTGTTTCTTATGCGAAGTACCAATCGTTAAATGTGAAACGAAGTGGTTTGTCACTATACTACATTTGGCATTGGTTCTATTTTTGCAACACCTCAGTCCACGATGGGTGTATATGTTCACCTATTTATCTTAATGTAATTTTTTTTATTCATGTGTCTTGTTTTTTAGTTGTTCGGATTGGTTCACTTTGTTACCTACCCTATATTTGTAGATATATTGTGCAATTTTTTACTCAAATTGAATGTCGATCATGGATTGTATGAATTCGGTAGATTCTTCACCTCCAGTAGTGCAAAAGTCTGCAAATGACTTGAGAGAATATAAAGTGATGCGTTTATGCAATAGGATGAAAGTGCTTCTTATAAGTGATCCGGAAACAGATAAGTCTGCAGTGTGTTTATCTGTGAACATTGGTATGTTGATGGTAGTTGTTTCAGTGTTATAATTCTAGGTTCACTGTCGGATCCGAAAGAACTGCCTGGTCTCGCACACTTTTGTGAGCATATGTTGTTTCTTGGTACGAAATCATTTCCAACAGAAAATACCTATTTGAAGTACATAACCGATCATGGTGGTCACTGTAATGCTTTTACGAGTCCAGATAGAACTTCTTATGTGTTTGATGTTGCACCTGAAAGTTTGAAGGGTGCGTTGGATATTTTCTCACAGTTTTTCATCTGCCCTCTTTTCACCGATTCAGCAACAGAACGCGAGGTTAGTTTTAATCTGGTTACTGTACATGGCAAGCGTTTGTTTGTTAGTTTGTTGTGAATGGAACGTGGTTTCAATACTACGACAATGATTTCCGTCTCAGTGCACATGTTTTTTTCAAAGAAATATTTGGTGCATCTGAGAGTTTCTATCAGTTGTTTCATTAATTACGTGCAAAATTAAAAATGTTTAGGTGGTGTGATATGATATTAAGTTAGTGGTATGAGGTCACTAAATTCAAACATTCAAGGTTTTCTAAATATCATAGCCCGATCAATTATATGATATGTTTTGAGTTTTACCTCTGGGCTCAGAATTAATGAACACCACCTATAATTTTACAGTGAACAATGATTTTATATGATTTTGATTTGTTATGAAAATGTATCAACTGCATTTCACTTGTCGAATAACAAGGATTGTGGTAGTTATAGAGCGTTTTTTGCAATGATACATTAAATGTAAAACTGGTCTCACAAGACTTTGTTTATCGAATATTGCTATCTACTATGTGTGCACAGATTGGTGTTGTAGGTTGCCTTATTTCTTACTTTATTGAATACGTTTTTCTCCGTTCGAGAATGAGATTATGTGTAAAGTATTGTAATATGCAGCACGTGTAGGTGATGTGCCTCTTCCATTATATTCAAAGCCGTATTTAGAATTCAGGAGCCTAATATCTGCTTCCGCTTCACTGTAGTACAGCTGCAATCGTAGTGACCGACAAGCTAGATGGAGAAATATAGATAGTCTCATCAGAATGTTTTGTATTGTATTTATGAAAAATAAACCAGGGTACACCTGTCTTGCACGTGTAGATAATAATTGATATTGAGAAAGGTAAGACTAATATATTAAAAAGATAAGCAACTAACGAAAGAGTAGCTATAGTCATAATGGATTTTCAGGTTATAGTTTCGAAACCCCGTTTATTCACCTGATTTTAGGTAGGTTGGTAGTATCTCTCGTTTGCAGACACTAGCTGGTTATTGTAATATAGATATTATGCAACTTTGTTCTAAATAAGACTTTATTTTATGACGAAGGTAAAGTCTTTCGACTTCATGAAGGATTATTTTTGTGCTTATTTCATCTTTTATTGTAAAATGTAATAGTTGGATGCCTTCTACTGCTTAAGATTTTGTGCTTGTGTGGGTAATTTTGTTTCAACGAAAACAGTTGTGGCAAAGCACCAGTGCGTGCCGAACCACGTGACGGTGTTAGTGCATAAGTGATGTCAATCAGAAAACGGTGTCAAGAGTATATTGAAGCTAGAGTGAGAATAGGGGATGAGTGAAATCAAAAAGTAATTTAACTTTATTGATATAAATATGTTAAAATTGGAAGTTCATTTGAATTTTGGTCAATTTTGAAGCATATATATATATGGTTATTATTGATAACCTTTGTCATTTCAATTCTTTACATTCACTTATGTCAATCGTTTCACACTATATCTTACCTCAATGTAAAATTTAAACACATATTTAGTTGTAAGCAGCTGATAAAAAAGTACAAAATATGATGAATTCATTTTATTCTGCATCCATGTTCGTTCTCGCCTAATATAAATTTTAAAGCGCATTGCGGAACTGATCACAGATATTATTCGCACATTTTGGTTGAATAATGATCGTCAAAAATTGGTTTGTAAGGGGACTTGTTATCCATTTTAACGCAAATGCGGTATTATATTTTGAATTTCGTAGCTTGTTAATAGACGTTTTCTAAATAAAAGTGCTATGCTTCGAATTTTCGAGAGCCTTGCATTCGTTTTCTGAAGTTATCAATATGGAGTTTATTAGCTACTTTATTTAAAACATTTAGTAATACCCGTTGGCTTAGTCAATTATACTTGTTTGGTGGTACTGGTACCAAGTGACAACGTCATAGATAATTTGCCATAATAATTTTACTGTTTTGACTACCACTAACAAGCCACGTTTTAATTTTAGGTGAGTGCTGTACAGTCGGAACATGAGAAGGACATTAGTAATGATACTAGACGTCTTTTTCAGCTAGAGCGAAGCTTGTCAAAAAGTGGTCATGATTATACGAAATTCCTCTCTGGTAATCGATACTCTTTATTTGAGTCCAGTTGTGCACAATCGGTGAATACACGCGAAAAGTTGTTGCAATTATATTCAACATGGTATTCGTCAAATGTGATGGGACTAGTTATCCTTGGAAGAGGTACATAACATGTAGTATTGTTGAATTGAGATTGATTGTTGAGGTTGCCGACATTTGAGATGTAAATTTCTTTTAAAAAATTAGATGTAACTAAACGATTTTATACTGTTCACCTTTCTCATCAGAAATCGAACCCAGTCATTTTATTTTAATTGCGATCTGTCAATTACAGGCGACAAAATGTGTTAGTGATGATGACATCAGTGTATTGGAATCGATTACCTACAATTATGAGTTGACGATAAGATTGAATATTTTCAAGTTGTTCGTACAGATGAGGATAGTTAGTATGTCAATGTATGTAGGGTTGAGATCATTTGGAGAGCAGGTTCTTCAGTTGATAAAACCATTCATACGTTTCATCACAATACTAAGCATGATTGACTTCCACCAGACGACTCTGGAACTGTTATCATACTAGTTGTTTTTGACATGTTGCCTCCTGATTGATCATTAGGTCAGGATGTCAGACTAATATTTATTCTGTGTTATTCTGTTCATGTATTAGTTAGGGCATCTATTTTACGTGTTAGAGTGTTTGACTCAGTGGCCATGGAAATCAAGGTATTACCAAGTAAACTGATAAGCTACTCAATAATCAGATTGCTTTCAGCAGCTTTTGCGTCTGGATTATTTTGTTTTTGATTACTAACGATGATTCATGGAGAGTACTAGATAGGTGAGGAAGAGAACATGTGTAGAACGAAGCTGGTTAACAAATTGGCTGAGAAAGTGGTACAATGCTCCATTTTGTGACTCATATATAACTTCTGAATCAGATATTTCCGACTTGTGCGTGTTACAAGCATAGCGACTACAAAATCGTTTAGTTTGTATTTCGTCGTTTAATTGGAATTGGTTTTAAATACTAGGTGTGATCAGTATTTACGTTTTCTTCGTGTTTGTGATTGTTTTTTATGATATGTTTTTAGAATCCATAAATGACCTAGAGAAACTTGCAGAAGATAAGTTTTCGGAAGTTATTGATCGTAATGTTGTGCAACCATCATGGAACGAGACTCCGTGGCCTGATATATGTCTCAAGGTAACACTTTCATTTGACTTTTATTATATTTATTATGTTTTGTGAGTAAAACTATGCATATATGATCTTGATTGTTGCTTATGTGTTTAGTCTAGAAGATAATTAGTTGATTCCAAAATGTGTTTAAGTTCATATTCTTGATTGTCACTAATTATGCCGTTTGGATGCTGCGTTTTTCACAGTTAGAGTAGGTTACTGTAAATTTGATGTTGAATCATGATAAAGAATCGTGAAGCAGGTTATGTGGTAATCTAAAGATTGATAAGAAACAGTTTTGTGAAGATAGTTTTTGGGTGAGCGATGTGACTGTTGATTGCCTATAGTATGACGAACACGTAGAATGTGAATTTGGATACATTGAAATAGGTGTAGAAGAGAATAATGGCTTAGTAATAATGTTGCGTCGAGTGGAAGGATGTGATAAATAGTAACCTGATCATTGTCTGTTATTAAAGGTATGCTGAAAATGAATTTAATGGTTCCTTTGCAATACTGTTGTTCTACCTGAGATTCAAACGTATGAAAATAACAGTTGATATTTATTGAGCATTATAGTTTCCAAGTTGGTATATGGAATAACGATGATGTGAATTTTGTTTTTATCGATATGAGCATATTGATTGATATTAGTCTTTTAGGTGTTAATTACTTTCTAGTCTGTAGAATGTCTCGTGTGAAGTTAGCTTTTCTCTGATGTCAAATTTGTATCAGAGGCTTCATGGCTGTGAGAAGCATCAGTACAGTGCAATACTACTAGGCATTGCCGGAGATCAGTGAGAATAATGTGACTGAGTAATGCCAATCACATTTCAGTTAGTGTTCTATTCAGAAATCAAAGTCATGCATTTTGAATTTTAAAAAATTAGAATATGTATGTGCTAGAATGTGGATTGCCTAATTATCGACCTGTAGAATCGGAGTTGTGCTGTCACTGTGATTGTAAACTGCGAATGAAACCAATGATTTGTTTTCCTTGAGCTATGTAATGTTTATCAAAATGTTAATAAATTGTAATTTGGTAAATTAGAGAATTAAGGTAGAACAAGTGTACATTTTGATTTTATCACAGAAAATGGTATATGTCGTCCCACTGAATGACGTCCATCAAATGAATATAATGTGGCCTATTCCTGACTATATTCCAGATTATACAGCTCAAGTAAGTTATTGTTTTGAAGTGGATTGATCCGTTATGCACAAATGCAGATTCATTGTTCATTTTATTTTTTTCGTCTATATTGTTTCGAAATGTTGACGTGTGTCAATCAGTTTTTACATTTACTTATAATCGAGAATGATTTGCACCAATAGTTTTGATATTTGTGTTTTCGACTGATAAATGTTGGTTCTGTGATAGAAGATGTGCGTTAAATGATGAAATAAGTGTTAACCGGAATTTTGTATTTGTGACTGAATAGATTTTACATCTAATTTCTAACCATTATATCGTATATTGGGACGTTGTGCTTATGTCTTCCATTTCGCTTAGTTCATTTTTAGATTCCTTCTTCATATAGTGTGCACTTAAATTCTTTATGCGTACATAGTATTGCTTAATTAACCTTAATCTTTTTTTTCTATTTTAGAGGTTTTTTCTTATATTGTTAAGGAAGTTATATGTGGTTTTAGATTATGACTAGCAGACGTGTCCGTGATATACTCAATTTGTCTTATTTAAGTATTCGTATCTGATTATTCGTCTTATTTTTGGTGTCATTGACCGGTAGTTCTTTCTACTCTAACATTAGATGATCAATAAGTTTTTTTATTGGATATATCGTATTATTATTCGAAGAGATTTGTGTTTTGAGTATTCTTTTTTTGATATTTGTACACCATGTCTAGTTAGTGCTTATGTTTATAAATTTTATTACATTTTAGTGTTGTCAAATACACTGACAGTATGCTATGCCTGGTTAAAATTTTTTCATGAATACCAGTAACTTGGAAACAAAAATCTTAAGAAATAGTTATGCTCAATCTAATTGTTGTACATATCCAAGATAATAAGAATGAAGATTTGAGCAGAATAGCATGAATTAATTTTATTATGTTTAGTTCTCATCAGCTGCTTAAAACCTGTAATATTTAAAAATGGGTTCAAATTACTTGTATGAGAGAGTTTAGTTGAAAGTCGCTATAATCACATATCAGTATAGTATAGCAAAGTTGTAAATAGCTTTAATAGACTAAACAAAATATTGTAAATTTATGTCTTATTTTAAAAATCATTCTATAAAGGTGATAGCAACAAAAGCTTAAAGGTCTAGAAGCAAGTGGTCTCTAACGAGAGCCAAACGAAATAAAATGAATCCTGGCTATTCTGCTCAAATCGTTGTTTTTGCTTCCTTCATGATTATGAAAGGAACTATATGTTGTCCTGATGTAATCGTTTGTCATTACGAAGATCGTTTTCCTGATTGATTGATATCAAGTAAATAATGACTGAATATGAAGTTGCTTTCATGCGTTGTTTTGATACATTTTTCTAATACAGTCAGTATCAGTCTATGACGTAAGCTTTCTGTTAAATTTATCTACTTACCACAAACATATTTTATTATTATCATTGTTATTTAAATATGATTTTCATCGCATAGTGTAGAGTTAAAGCTATTGACTTTCAAGCGTCGCTCCACCCACTTTGATTGAAGCAACCCGTTAGTATTATCAGGTCTTACACACAGAGTGTGGCTCATATTCCAAGCACCTAAATAATGCGTTAATTTTTAATTAAATGTACTGACGTTTTCTTTCGAACCACTGCTTACCAAAAAGCACTGAACACGCATTACATTTTAGCTCATTACTTCTTGATAGTTTTCACCCACGGTCCAATACAGAATGTAATCCGATAATTCCTGTCTGATGGTGAGTGCTCTACTTTCAAGTTGTCGAGTTAGCACTCATTGATTCACACTCCTGTATTATTCCTTTTTATATAGTTTTATTATTATGGACTCGAAGATTTAGTAAGAAGTCATAACCAATGGAAAGTAATATTATCTATCTTAGTGAATGATAGTCACTCTATATCGTCAATTGAATTAAGTGAAAAATATGGAACACTGAGTCTTGTCCCAATGATTTCAAATATATCATTGTCTACTAGACACTTGAAAATCCTCGGCACGATTTCGTATGCAGTCATTCTAGGCTACTGCTAAACAGATATAAATTGGGAGTTAATAGCATTTTGATATCTCTTGGTTTTATATAGTTTCTAATCTGATATCAGTTGTAGATAAAACCAAGCCTCAGATGGAATAAGTTTCTGAAATTTTCTATCTTCATTTCAATTATTTGTGTGATTTTTCAACTCACATGTTTACAGGCCACTAGTTATGTGACTTATTTACTTGGTCATGAAAGTCGTGGAAGTTTACTGAGCTTATTCAAAAATGCAGGCTGGGCTAATCAACTAACATGTGATGTTAATAGATCAGGAGCTGGGATTTGTTATCTGAATGTGTCCGTTCATTTAACTTTGAAAGGACTTGGTGAGTTAATTGGTGGTTAGATTTCTTATTTCCTAACGTTATTGAGAATAACTGTATATGGTTTATATATATAATTAAATGATGTATGTATCATATAATTAATTTCTTGAAACCTATTTTTTGTAGAGAAAATCAATGAAATTATAGCAAATATATATCAATACATCAACATGCTTCACTCTGATGAACCAAAAAAGTGGGTGTTGGATGAAATACAGGTAGGATTTGGATTTTTCATCAACTATTTCGAACTTCGACTAGACAGTGTTATATTATTAAGATGTCTATGTTGTAGTATTGCTTGTCCGATGAAAATTAACAGTTGTGTTGTATTTGTGAATTATGTACAACAACACAGACATATATGAGCATCGGTTTAAGTTTACGCAACTGATAAATAAATGAAACCACTTTTAGCTCTTACTCTTCTCTGCCTTAATGACTTTAGACTAAAAACAACGCTTTTTGAAGATGAAGCTTTTTAATGTTGAGCCATCCATAATCCATCAAAAAACATATTAAGTTTATCGGTTATATATATCAAAACAAATTAATCAGAATATTGAAACTTAGTATTTGATATTAGCACAAATCATCGAGAAAATGTATTGAAATTCCCTGAACAAAGTTCTCACTTAATAATAAACTACAACAGTATTTCAACCCAATCAATATTGATTTGCTTCTCATAAGTTGTAATTTCAGACTGCAGATCTCTTGAACAATATCAATATAATGATGAATTAATAGGAAATTTGAAGTAAAGAAACAATTTAGTGGTGAATCTAATGTAATTATTGGGGCAAAAATAAAACTATGCAACTACAGCTTATAAAGACCAAATGAATATTTCTTTTTTGCATTTAGAGAATATACAAATCGGTTTTTAACTATGTTTAAATGTAAGTTAACCTATCCAGTGGATTCTTTTTATATAAACTGTTTACTTGTAGACTTTATGGAAACTAGGCTTTCGATTTCAAAACAAAGAGACACCTTATGAATACGTGATAAGATTATCCCGCAATTTGTTGGTGAGTACTATCAAAAACAAATACTTTATATTTTTAAAGCCTTTGATTACCCTTAAAAACAGTATAACACGTTCAATAACCTATTTTCTAATCCTTCAGATAAATCGACTTTCAACATTACCATACTGGCTTTTAAGATTAGTTAATAGGAAAATAATGTGACTAACATATAAATAGTTGTTTCCGACTTTTCTACTTTTTTTTCTAGATTTATAAGATGCAAGATGACCTAACTGATCATTTTATGGCAACTGTCTATGATCCTAATTTAATTAAGAAACTATTAATTTGTCTTACTCCTGATAATAGTCGGTACGTTTTACTGGTTATTTTGTAAGGTTTTTCTATTCGCAGCGTCATATTAATTTATAATATTTACAGATTTGAAAATGTAGTTTTGAATTTTTTGTTACCTAACGGAAGTGTAGCTTCCTCACTGTAATGTAGTACTTTTGTTCCTTAACTAACATCAGTTGGTTTCGTTAAATTCAGTTATTAACAGTAATAATAATTTAGTACCTTATGTTTTATTACAGTGAATAATTCTCAGCACAAATTTCCAATAGTGTAACAAATTCGTCTTTAATATTCATTTAACGTTTTAATACTTGGAGTTTTTATGCAAAAAGTTTTCAGTATGGAGATTGGTGACACTCTATCTAGGATTGATTGGAGTTAGATGCGTACGTCATTGAATTTAGGTCTAGTGGTCTAGAGATATTTTACATTCGTGAGCGAGACCTGTCTTTAGTCCAATCATCGGTTAGTGGGTTATAGGCGCACTCTGTTGAGGAGTCTTATTCGAGGATGAGACAATAGTCCAGTGATTTTAGTTTTTCAGCATTTATCTAACTTAGATCAGCTCATGATTCCAACAAACGTTTTACAACCACGTTAATCGCCGTTTATATGTATTCATTAATATGACATTTTTCGTCGTCTAATAAAAATTTTCATATATGGTCGCCATTTTCAATCGCTTTTCGTTCCTCCAAAAATTTACGAGATGACGAATAAACTTGAATTTTACACTAATCATCTTTGTGATAGACTGTAACCTGTATATAATATACCGTTTGGTTACGTAATTTTTCAGTTAGAATAAATTGAAAATCGGAAACACTTATTGTGGCACTTGTAAATTTAATAAATATTTAGCCCCAAGGTTTGTCAGAGGTGCTGTATGCTCACTGAACATTACTCGTGCCGACGAAAAATATCGATTGTTACAAGTGCAAAAATATTTACTTGCTTACTTACTCTTATCCATCGTGGAGGAGCACAGATCGCCCATCAGGATTCTCCAATCAACTCTGTCTTCAGCTCACTTTTCCAGTTGTTTCCAATTGCCATTCATTCTTTTGATGTCTGCTTCTAATTCCTGACTCATTATATTCTTCAGTCTTCCTCTTTCCCGTTGTTCTTCAAGATTTCATGTTAGCGCTTGCTTCATGATGCAGTTTGATGATTTCCGCAATGTATGTCTTACCCACCTCTAGCGTCTTTTAATAATTTCCTCTTCAACTGGAAGCTGACATGTTCTCTGTCGCAGCGTGTTGTTACTGATAGTATCCGACCAACGAACATGGAGTATCTTGCGTAGACAATTGTTTACGAATACTTCTACATCTTTGATGATGGTTGTGGTAGTTCTATAAGTTTTACCTCCCTACAGCATAACTGTTTTGACGTTTGTATTGAAGATTCTGACTTTGATTTCGGTTGACAGTTGTTTTGAGTTCTATATATTCTTCATTTGTAGGGATTCTGCCTTTACTTTTCCAATTCTTGCCTTTACGTCTCCATCGGATCCTCCTTGTTAATCGATTATGCTTCCCAGGTACATGAAACTGTCCACATCTTCCAGAGTTTCTCCATCAAGTGTGATTTGATTAGTATTCTCTGTGTTATATTTCATAGTCTTGCTCCGTCTTTTCTGTATGTTGAGACCCACTACTGCAGTGGCTGCTTCTGCCTTACTGCTTGTCCTCATCTGCATTTATTGATGTGCTCGTTCACGAAGGCTAACAGTTGTAAGTAATTAGGTAATGAGATAGGAGAGCTAGGTCACTTGTAAAGTCATCAAGCTGCATGCTAGTTATCCACTGTATTTTGTGCTTTCTCTGAAATGTGAAAGTTTCCATAATCCAATCAACCACCAGAAGGAAAAGAAAGAGGGATAGTAAGCAGCAGCTTTGTCTGACTTCTGTCGTCGCTTGGAATATGTCTGTCAGCTGTACTCCACGAATGAATTTGCAGTGTAGTCCGTTGTATGAATTCCGGATGACGTTGACGACTTTTTCGGGTACAACATAATATTGAAGAAGGTTTTATAAGGTTCTCCTATCCAAAGTGTCAAATGCTTTCTCATAGTCAATTAAGTTGATGTATAGTGATGAGTTTCATTCAATTGATTGCTTAAAAATTATCTTTAGTGTCGAAATATGGTCTGTCTACGACCGATATTTACAGAATTCAATCTATTGATCTCGAAGCTTGACGTCTACTGAATCTTTCATCCTGTTCAACAACATTGCTGAAAACGTTTCTTAGTAATAATAATAGTGTGATGTCTCTGTAGTTTTCCCACTTCTTGAGATCTTTTGTATTTTGATGAGGTATCTTTTCTTCCAGTCCGTCGGTGCTTTTTTCCCCTCAAATCTTTCTGAATAGAAAGTAGAGTGTTTGCGGTTAATTCTATGCGTGACTTCAGTGCTTCAGCTGGTATATTTTCAGGTCCTGCTGCTTTCCTGCTCTTGATATGTCTGATGGCCATCCTGATTTCTTTAATAGTTGGTGGAGTGACATCTCTAGGAAGGTCTGTATGTGGTGCTTCGATATCCGATGGATTCAATGGATCTGATCTCTCCAGGAGTTCCATCCATCTGTTCCTCTTTTCTTCAATTTCGCTGATTGTGTTGTCTTCTTTTTAATTGATTGGTCTCTGCAGTTTACTATATTTCCCTACCAGTTTCTTCGTTGTGCTTGTTTGCTTCAGTGTATTCAGCTTATGCCTTGAATTTCTCCGCTTTTGTTCGACTGTTGTTAATTTCTGTCCTCTTGTTCTCTCTTTCTTGAATCCTGGTCAGGGTTTATCTGGAGGTGCTTGCCTTACGATAATGCTTCTTGATGTCCAGCACCCCCTGGTAAGTTGAAGCTAGTGTTTCTTCGATCTCTTTCCTATCGTTCTCTGTACTAAGTTCTTCTTTGAACAGATCTTATGAGACTTGGAACTTATTCCTAAAAGCCATCTTGAATTGGTTAGGTTTGTCAGTATAACGAAAGAAGGCTGTATTAAACCATTGTAATGCTGTCTCTCCAGATGTCCATTGCTTCTTTAGCTTCAGTTTCATGTTGGCAACCACTTTGTAGTGATCTCCAGGTCTGTCAGCTCATCTCTTGGTTCTCGAGTCTTCCATTGACCTTACGAACTCGTTGGTGATGCAAATATGATTGATCTGGCTCTGTGTAGTGTGATTCTGCTAAACCAATGTGATTCATGAATGAGTTTGTGGGTGAGTACAGTGCCACCTATGACCATTATGTTGAGGCCACATTTTTTTTCGCCTTTCTACCAGTCCACATCGTACCATAATATATTCATATCCGGTATTGTCCATTCCCACTTTGACGTTTAGGTCTTTCATCAGGATAATCAGGCCTTTTTCCGGACACTTCTCTACAGTCAGCTGCAATCTCTCGGTAAATTGGTCTCCATTGTCGTCGTTGTCAACATTGATGAGTGAATAGCACTGGACACAATTCATTGTTATTTTCTCCTTTTTTTGAAGGATGCTTTGCTGACTTCCGGACACACGAGATTCCCATCCTATAAGTACCTTACATGCTTCTCTGGACAGTATCAATGCAAATCCTTGTGTGTGCAAAGCATTTTCATCTTCGTGACCAGAGTGCAGAAACACCTCTCCCGAATCTAAACTTTTCTGTCCAGCTTGAGTTCAGTATCTTTCACTCTTTCTTAAAGCCACCAAGTTGTGTCTGTTTAATTCTGTATTTCTTTTGCTGGTCCCCCCAGTTTCTCACATCGTTCAGAAATTCCATGTACCTATACGGTTTGTTGCTTTGGTTGTTCGAAGAGTCATTGGTCTCGTAATTTTCGAAGAATCTCGGGTTACTCCCTGGGGCATCATAATTCTTCTGAGTGAAGATCCTTGAAATCGGGGCAGGGCACATTTTGAATGGTTTTAATTATTTTTTTCTGGTTACGGTTTTTTACCAAGTCTGTCTTCTACGGAATAAGGTTTGCGACCTTACTTCCAGCCTTCCTCCTTTACCCGGATTTGAAACTGGCAGTAACTGTAGAAGGGCTGCAAGCGGATTTTTGTTCTACGCCGATAACCTCAAAATTGTTTGCTATTGTTCGCATAATGTAGATACTTCTGTGAAAGATATTTAATAAGGCATTGGTCAAATGTAGATCTGGTGCAGATTTCAGAAAAAAGATCTGAGAGTTAAGTTCTTATTTAGTTTTATACAGTTATTGTCACTTTAAATATTCAATGATCACCTATTCTTGATTCAGTACGAGATTCAGGTGTAAAATAGTCCTCAGCATTTTGTCTATCTGAATATGTCAACTTTATCAATTATAAAGAGTAAAGACTCATGGGCTTTGGTATTAAGAACTTGGTAGCTTGAATATACGTGTAGAAAGCTTCATACTTAAAATGCTTGTTTGCGGTTTGTCTTTTAGAAAATAGATCATAGGAGTGGAATGGAAATATTTTATGCATAAAAGTGATATTGTTTTGCTGACAACATAAAGTATATTTCCTCACTACTTTAATATTGTGTTAACGTTGCTTTACAGCATCTTTTTACTTAGTAAAACGTTTGCCGACAAATGTGTGGAGGAAGAACCCTGGTATCGCACTAAATACCTTGCTATTAATATTCCTGAAAATACCTTGTCAGTAAGTCATTGTTCTTAGTAAATATTATAATCAAAAATCTTATTCTAATTCAATATCGTTGTTTAAATTGTATTTGATAATGCGAAGCTGTTGGATCTTATTTAAGACTGATCAGCATGTATACGTGCATCTGAATTTTATGAAGGTTTTTCGGTTAAAACTAGAACTGTGTTTGATTGCTTGAAATTCTGTAGTTATTCGAATTGTGAGTAACAATATCCATCGGTTGTTCAGCAAAACGTAGTTATAGAACCTTGGTCACGCGGTCGCGTGCCTTCACATGCGATGCTGGTTAGCATATGAGTGCGATAAAAGAAGTTTGGATACGATCAAACTAACATATGGTATCATTTTATAAAGTCATGAACTCCTTATGTGAGACGTTATATATGTTAGCCTTCTCATCGTATCTTATATTCTTAGACACTAGAATAAGTGTATCAAAATGGCTTAGAGTGGCACAGTTACGTCCATTTTTATCTTCTTTGATTCATGTGTTTTTTGTTAGTCCAGATTTTATTAGCTGTAATCGAAATACATTTAGTATTCTTTACACCTCGTTAATGTTTTTTTCAAATATGTTGGTATAAAATGATTGATCGGGATGACAGTTGTTTTTATCAACTAAACAACAACAGCGGTTAATCATACCAAGTCGACATTCATTCAGACAATTTAATCCTCATCTCCGACAGATTCTTACTTCTTGTAAGGTCTTTTCTTTGCTGTCCTCAATTTTTTTAAGTTTTTGGAAGTAATTCAGTCGAATTTTGTCGAGACTTTTTGACTAGGACACCAAACATAGAAAACAGAAATTATCGTAACAAGTGAAAATATTGACTTTATCGTCCAGAAAGGCATTCATGCACAAATCCAACTTTGTTATTTGAATCATGTTTTTCAGGTATAGGATGTTTTCCTTACACTGGACTTTGTGGTTTGGTGAGAAAGAAAAGCCTTTCCAAACTTGTCATATATTTTGTGAGGAATAGGAATTAAACAGTGATCAGGACTGAGAAACAGAGCTCATTTTTTTAATCTCGTAGATCCTAAATAACAAACTGACTGAATAAATACACAATTAATAAAAGCTAGATTTAATATGGAAATCAGGATGAGGAGGGACATCTACTAGTTTCCGGTGATGTAAAAGTGGGAGTTTCAAATGCATGAATAGAAGTCATCACATACCAATGAGGACAGAAGTGGAAAATTTAGTGAATCCGTCGACGAAAAGAATTTGTATAGATTAAGTGGATTCCGAAGTCTCATATATGTTGGTAAAGTAAATTTGATTATGTTTGTTCAAATATGTCGAACTATGTCTCAACGTTAAACAACTAATGAAATCTTTCGGAAATCTAAATCCTCTTTTTTGGCCTTTTGTTCTGATTTCTATTTCGAAGAACGAATGAATATACTATAAACATAGATCTTCCATTTAACTCTGTATATTACCTAGGCTAACTCTTTTTGTGTGACAGCGGTATTAAAAAGCCAAATACTGGTTGCGTTGGATGAGTGTACTTCAAGCGCTCGTTTATCCTTACAGACATTCAGGAAAAGAAGCGTGAAAACGAAGTGGAGAAGGCGAGCAAGCCAACTCGTTTTGATAAAGCGTAACCCAGATAAAAATTAGCTACAGACTGTGATGAATAGTGTAAGCAATGCACACACTCTCATATAAGAACAGTCAAAGTTAATAAGCGAATGACTGACAAGATCAAAATGAGGCCCGAGAAGAATAAAGAAATTGGTCTGTCTGGAAGCAAGAATAACCCATGTGGGCTTGACATCGCACCAGATACTATAACCTACATGGTTGGACTGATACGGAACGTAGCAGCATAAGCACACTTTTTCTCTAAAATGGGACGATTCTTAAAACCATGTTGTCGTATCATATTATTATTGTGTAAATCGTGAGACTGAAATTAAGATGTGATTATACCACAATGAATATCCGTATTTAGCCAAAACAAAATTAAGCGATAATTCACTTTTGTAATGACAAGTTTGTAGTTATTTAGCTTAAATATCCTTCTTATTTATTATTACTAGCTTTAAATTTTGTGTCTTCGGAAGAAGATATGGATTTCTCTTCTTCTTCTTAATCCCTGTTCAATGTGGTATCAGGTATATGTCAATTTATTAGTCTTTAATGTTATAATGTCCGGTACCGATACTGATACACAAGCCTCTCTAATCAAGAGTGAGAAGGTAGCTTGTATTGGGTGACTGATTGGGCTTGGGTGTACACTCTATATATATTCTCTACAATATGTAAGCATTTCTTGGCCATTTACCCGATATCTGATTAGCTTATTACACTGTCTATAGAAAACTTTCACCTGAAAACCAAGTAGAGAAACTTTCTTATTCCTACTGAATTACGCTACATCACTTCTCCATTAATTTCACGTTGTGAAGATTAAAAGTTATTGATATAAATTGTTCATATATTTATGCGTTTTCTTCAGCACTTCTCGCTTTGTTTTTTGAGTATTTTGTTTCTAATAATTTGCTTCTTCGCCAATAGGCATGGCGAAATAGTTCTTCTAATCCAGAATTGAGATTCCCTGAGCCAAATTCATTCATTGCTACTGAATTCGATCTGGTGCAAAACGAATGCCCCACGAATGTTGAAATGCCAGAATTATTAATCGAAACAGAGATGTCTCGTATTTGGTACTTTCAAGATACAGAATTCAATCTTCTCAAAGGTTTTATCAAATTTCATATTGTCAGGTTAGTTTCTCTCTCTCCTTCATAATTAGTAATCATTATTATGCTGGATAAGTGGATATTGTTTCTGTCTGTTTATTGTAACTTTTTCACGATTAAATGTTTGTTATTTCTTTGCTCACATTAACCAGTATTAACTTATTTAGTATAATCTTAATTTAATGAATTCATTTACTAGTATAGGGGTTGTGGAGATTATTAAGTTTTTGATTGAGATCATGAACCGATTGATGTTAGACCACCTTTGAAAACCTGGAAGCACTGGACGGCCGTTTCTTCCTATTTTGGGACTCTTCAGCAGTGCGGTCCCGCTCGCAGGGTTCGAACCCATGGCCTTCGGTCTCACGCGCGAACGCCTAACCTACTGGATTCATTTATTTACTACTCTTTTTACCTTATTTAGTGTCACATATCTTACTATTATGCAAAGTAATCAATGACGTCCTTAACCATAGTTTCAGTTAATTAATATAAAATTAAGCATTTATAATATTCATACACTAATATTATTTATGACTTACTACATAATAGTACTTATAAATATTTTATAAGTAATTGTTTATTTTCTATTTTTCACCATAGTTTGTCAACATTTTGTAGTCCTTTACATGAAACACTTTGTGCGTTTTATGTAAACTTGTTTTTGGATCAGATTTATGAACTTAATTACTCTAGTGTGTTTGCTGATATAACAGTTCATGTGGGATATACTAATAGAGGTATCACGGTATGTTAGATTAAGATTTAAATTAATTTGTTTCATTATGAATAATCATTGTATACATGTGTCGACATATTATGTGGTTTATAATATACTTAAGAATAAATAAATATTTGTAGAAATAAATTTCATCATTGAATTTAGTCATAACTCCTTGTGATAAACATTGAATTTTATTGTTTATTTGCCTCACACCCTGACACTGTTTGGCTCCACTGCTGAAAATCAGTAGCTGTTTTCTTGAACAGATTCTAGTAGAATCGTTTTTGTGCTAAATGTAGGGAAATAAACATAGTTAATTTCTTCGGGTTGTTAGGATAACAAAATACTTTTAATTTTTAACACCGTATTCTGGATTAAATCCACATACATTACTGTTTCGTTAAGAGAATTCCAAGTCATATAGTCTCTCATCACTTTATATCAGATTTACAATTAACCTCATGGGCTGTAGTTTAGCTTGATCATTCAAATATATTAGTTTTATACCACGACTGGAGAAATTTATTAAATTTAATTCACCAATTGTATTAAAATGCATCTTCGAGAATATTATCACTCCTTAATGATTGTCTGTTCCTAATTTTCAGCTTTTGTTTTCAGGATTTACCCATAAATTGAAAACTTTTGTCCAAGAAATAGTAACACAACTTGTCGATTATTGTGAACCAAAAACTGATCGTTTCGAATGCATCCGTGAGAAAATTTCCCAAAATATTACCAATTTTTCATTAAAACCAACTCATCACCAGGCCTGTACATATTTAACGAATATTACTACACATCATTCTTGGATTATTGATGATTTTATTCAAGCTCTAAAAGGTAAGTACTTATTCTTGCCTTTTGAGTATTTTTCATTCGACTCAATCGCGAACAATATAATTCTTAGTACTGATGTTCAACTACCCGAGTTACTAAATCTCATGTTAGCTAGAGCTTTGTGATAATCTTGATGCTTGTTGCAACTGAACGTAACGAATATAATTACATATAGTATTAATTTTGTTAAGAAAATTGCTGATTGTTTGGTATTATGAACTGAAAATTGTTATTAGCATCCCTGTTTTGTGAACTAGGAATGTCCCATAAAAAAATTTGTCCGAATTATTTTGTCGCCATAAATAATTACAACCATTTCAGTGAACGTCATTTACTAACCTTCTCGAATTACGATATTATAAACCCTCTACCATTTACAAAATCTCAAAAAATTTAACCGACGACAGGCATATCCACCGATCTCGAATTATATTTGCACAGCTTATCAAAACAGACAAACATGTTCCCATTAGATAAAGTCAAAATTAATCTTCTTGTTGGCTGTCAGCCAAAAAGTTAAGACTGATTTAATAATGACAAAACAATTTATTTTTAATATTATAATGAATAAAAAAATTGATTTGAAATTCATCACTTCTCCAATGTTCTTTTAGCCACGACGCTATAAGATCCACTCAAGTGTCTTTCCCTTTCGCATTAAAGTCATTATTACTACATCAGAGCGCCTAGCTTTTCGGAGAAGGTCCGAAAGCTTTCTGGAAAACTCATCTTTTACATCATCTGAGCTGCAGTCAGTGGAGAATAGGCAGAGACGGCGAAGAGGCAACGACGAGTGTCCCTATCTTTTCGGATCCTTACTGTTCCGTTTAGTCGGACAGCGCACAAACGACTGTCTACTGGGATCCACTCTAAGAGAGCTAGTTCTGCCTCAGGACTCAATGCTATACCTACGCCGACGAGGCCACGGGAAGCAGAATCAGGGCTTCCAGATACACGAAGTGTGAATCGAGTCGGTTCTTTATTTTGGCATGATGAGGTCAGGTGAATGACGCTACTCGGATCGTGTATGCGCGTTTCGGAGACGCAGCACACATCGATGGCGCGGGATTCTAATGTCCTAGCTAAGGACGCCTGCTGTCCTATTTGGCACAGTGTTCGGACGTTAAAAGCCCCTACGTGTAGTTTGGAGCGTGGTTTCAGGAGACCAGGAATAACGTTCTGCGTGCTCGAATCGTTTGCCCTAGTGGTGCAAGGTGATAGAGGGACGTGAAAAGAGTTAGTCGGGGAGATAAAAAAGGTGTAAGGTATAGGGAGGATTTGAATGTGACCAACTTGGTTTCGTGTGCTGTTACGGGTATGAGGGCTGATGTCACCTCCCGGCTGCTCACACTGTGGAAGGGTATTGTTCAACTTTGTCGTTGACGTGCTTTTAGAGATAGCACATTCCTCGTCTGAATTTCCAGGGGTTGAACTTCTACCAGGAGATTCAATTTTTGACCTAGAATATGGCGATGACAGTTTTATTCGGTGAAGACGCTGACAAAATTCAGAGTCTTCTAACCACTCTAAGCAACAATAAAAGCATATTCGGGATGCGTTTCTCCCCGTCTAAATGCAAAATATTGCTTCAGGATTGGGTTGCATCGACACCCGAACTAGTGATAGGGAGTGAAGTAGTTGAGCGTATCAACCGCTTCACTTATCTTGGAAGTCTCATCAGCCCTTGTGGTTTGGTGTGTGACGAAATCTCAGCACGGATACAGAAGGCTCGACTAGCTTTCGCTAACTTGCGTCATTTATGGCGTAGGCGAGATATCCATCTATCAACCCAGATGACGTGTTTACTGTGCAGCAGTTTGTTCCGTCCCACTTTATGGCAGTGAAACATGGCCGGTAAGAGTAGAGGATATCCGTAGGCTACTAGTATTTGATAATAGGTGTCTTCGAAACATTGCTCTTATATTCTGGGACCATCGAGTAAGTAACTCAGTTGTTAGGAAACGGGTACTAGGTGAGGATGGCAAATCACTTGATGAAGTAGTGAAACTTCATCAGTTGAGATGGCTGGGACACGTGTTATGTATGCCCAACGACCGACTGCCTCGACGTGCGATGCTCAATGGTATAGGAGTAGGTTGGAAGAAAGCTAGGGGATTGGCCATAAATTAAAATACAACAAACTACTATACAGTATGCTCGTTCTTTGTTTAATTGATGGATGTTTCGCCTGCACTACAGGTAAGGTATGTTGTCGAAAACCGTGCAAGCATCCAAAATCCATGACAAAATGTACTTAGACACTAACTCACTGAGTTTGATTAGACTTCTAAGATATGTGAAATAGTTGCTCTATTTTCTTTCATGAGTTCAGGCTGTTGCATAGATCAGTCATCAAACAATATTTTGGATTTAGATAGGGAGAAGCACATCAAAAATGTGCTTATATTGTGCTTCAAGACGATCGCTGGACTGAAACTCATTATCGTCTTTGCAAACCAAGTCCATATCATCTGTGTATTCTAAGTCAATAATTAAACCTGTTCGATCTATCCCTGAAAATTCTGATAAAGGCGTTAATTTCTAAAAAAATGTCTACAACAGTGAAATAAAAAGAGAGATACGAATTACTCTGATGTTTGAACACGATAATGTGTCTATGAAAATCTGGGAGAATCCAGACATCTTACTTACTTATTCTCAGATCTTAGATCAAGTTCAAATGGTAGGTGAGAGATACGTGCACGCTAATGGTCGATGTCTTAATTTTCTCAATCACATAAAAATTTGGGCTCACATGTAGGCAGCAGTGTATATATTCGCATCAGAATTGGGTGACCTCTCCACTTAATGATTTCATTTTCCAACTATTACTATTCTTTGTAATAGAAATTCCTATATTCAAAGGTTTTTTCACTGAGAGAACTCTTGAAGCTCATCTAATTTCAATTTCTCTAACTTCTTGTACTATCATAATAATCTCAATTTCCGACATTCATCTGTGTCTGACATATCTTTTCTTACTTTCAATTATAAGTTTATTTTCTTCATGTTTTATTATCTGGGCTTTATTCATTCTATTCCATAAATCTACTCATTTTTGAATTTATGACCGAACATTTCTTTTGTGAGTCATTCATATTTATTATTTTTTCCGATAGTATGAGATCAAAAAAGGAGATTTACTCAATAGTGCTTAGTAATTAGTACTATTATATCTGTATTATAGCTAGTTAAAGAGAGAATCCGTGAAATTCATGATGTCATATTGTTTCTCTATGATGATTGTTCTTGATTAAGTATGATTTCTGAGAAAAAAATTTAAGTATAAAACGTAAGTTCTGTTCATTGTCTCATTGTGAAATTGATTGAATTCGTTACAACATCAGCTTATATATGTTTATAATCAGAGAGAGGTATTGTGGATATTATAGTAATTTAGTGGCTGAATTCATGAGTCAATTGAAGTTAGACCACTATGAAAAACCTGGAAGCACTGGACGGCATTTTCATCCTAATATGGGACCCCTCAGCGGTGCGCATCCATGATCCCGCCCCCCCGCGAGATTCAACCATTAGATTATATATGTTAATGTTAATTCTAATTCATCATTAAAGAATAATTACTACCATGTTATTTGTCACTCGTGATTGACTGAAATGTTTCGGAATAATTTTTTATAAATGTTAAAAAGGTTTTTTTTTGTTGGGTTATGTAATAACTGATGTTCGTTTAATAAAGGCATGTATGAATACAAATATTCAAAGCAATCATGTTTTGATTCCCATACTAAAATACGAACTGTTTTATGATGTGTTGTGGTGTGTGCTAATAATATTGACATAAGTAGTAGATGATGTTAGTCGTGAACAGAAGGTCTGGCAGCAAAGAGACAAGAGGATCGAACAGTAAAGAATGGAAACAAAATGCAATTTGTACGAAAATACAAGAACAATGAAGTCTGAGTCATTTCGAGACAGTCGATGGACACTTTGCAAATTAAGCATTTACTTTATGATTGTTAGATTTTATTAACAAGTCCTGTAAGTTTGTGTTAAATATATTCGATTGTCCCCACTGGTGTTCTTGTTCACTACAGTTTTAATGAATTTTAAAGGTTACTTAATATTCACTGTAAAAATCGTTACTGAAATTGGTCCACTGAGTTGCTATTGCAAATTCTTTGAGTGATTCGATAACTTATTCATTTTTTGATCCTAGATATTACCTACGAAAAGTTGGTTAATTATATCAAAGAGTTTTATGAAAATATTTTTATCGAAGGCCTTATATATGGCAATATCATCGAAGAGGTAAGCATACAGTAATGTAGCTAATATCATTTTTTAGGTTAATTCAGTGATGAGAATATGACTAGGATTTCTTTGTAGAAATTTAAAATGTTAAAATCATTTATAGTTATTGATACATGAATATTATAAATTGTGTACAGTAATACACAAACATTATGAACAGGCTTTTCATTTCAACTTGAGTAATTAGTTCATAACATTAAGAAAAAGACGAGTAGGTGACAGAACAATTAGAAACAGTGAAACAATCCCATAAGTAACTGTTAGTTACTGTCATTATAAAGCTCAGCACAAGTATTTATCAGCCCATTTCGTATTAGTCACGATGAAGTGAAACCAAAAAGAATTTCAAAGGTATTATAATTAACCCTAGTAGACATAATAACCAAAGAGATTGAATAATCATTGATCAAAATGGATAAAAACGTATTTAAGATAGAATACTCAGTATCCAAAGAAAGATAAGGAGTGATGGCATGTGATCTATGCTTACCGATTCTAAGACATGTTACACAACATTCCCAGCGACCGGTTAAAGTTATCATGCGGATCTCAAACAGGAATTCTAGATCTATCAGCATGACCTATACGGAAATTAAATGATTTTATGGACTGATATTATGGAGCTAACATACCAAGAACCGTTCGTCTTTGAATGTAGTTACACTCAAGGGAGCTTCGATTGTTAACTTATTACAACAGAAAACTGCAAAACGATTGCAGTTGACTTCAGTTAATATTTGAAACCACTCAGCCACAATTGTCGGATGTTAGTCAATAAAATTTACTGTTTCACACATTTTTAATTTATTGAAAATTCTCCAAAGTTATATCTTCTGATGTTAGAATAGACTTCATGGTATTCTCACCAAACGTGATATATGTGCATCAATTAAGCTAAATTATTTTGATAACTTGTAACGCAAGTGCATTGAATATGTTTATTCATGGGCGTGATGTATACAACTAATATAACCAAGCTAACATCTGAATATCACCAAAAGTAACGTAGACACGTATTTGAAACTGTTAAATTTCCTAAGCAAGCATTAATTTCACATTATCTATTGAAATAACACAAACATCTACTGTGATTTACAGACCTTTGAACGATTCTCTGTTTTTTTAATGATGTGTGGTTTAGATCATATTTCACTCTTAGATTTACTTATCATCAACCTACTGAATTGTGTATGCTATGTCACGATATTCATTCAGTGAATGATTAGCAGCTTGTATGTTGACCGTAGATTAACCTTTTTATTCCATAGTTCGATTATTGATCACAGTAATTGCTCTTGAATGTAAAGGGTAAATTACTTTCTGTATCACTTGGAAAATAACTTAGATAAATTTGTCGATTATTTTTCTAAATCATGTTTTTCAACTAGTCATATCGATGTTTCAAATTTCCATCTACAGGATGCAATAAATTATTACGAAATGATTCGAGATCTGTTAATACAAAAATTTGATTCTAAACCATTTTTGCTATCTCACATCGCAACACCTCGAGAAGTTATAATTCCTGAAGGTAAACACCTTTGTCCATCAGTTTTTTTCTTCAGAAATATGGTTTATGAATTATATATATAGGCTATGGGCCGTTCACTCGGCCAAATCTTGGCAGACATCTTTATGGTAAACCTAAAACAAACTGTCATGAAATCGGTGAATAATATCATAACGTTTTATGTCAGGTAAGTGAGAGGAGGCTGAATCGACCGTAGTTGAATGTTGTTTACGTGAGAACAGTTATTCTCAAAAAGTCATAAATAAATATATTACAACTAGAGAAAATGAAATATCCTACAGTTGAGAAAAAGCCTGTCTTCCTAAAATTTGGTTTCAGAAGGAATAAAATAACTGGGAGGATTGACTTTAAACTAAAGGTAATGCCTAAAAGGACATATTCAGCAACCAAGTTGATGTCTTTATAGCAAACCAAATGCTCGTTGTGACAGTCAAATGTGGACAGATACCCACCTAGTGTCATCTCCAATGAGTTTAACAGTTTACATGCACGTAACAAAGTACATACTTTGGAAGAACAGAAGGAAGCACCCGTGTACATATCTCCGAACATAATCCACAAAATTTGAGGTTAAACGGAAGGTTTTGAACAGTTCAATCGCTCGTCATCTACTCGACAGTAGGCATGATGTTATAGTTTCGAAATCTTTCAGAATGATTAATAAACATGGGGATTCGAAATTGTTACGCTTTACCGAATCTATTGCAATAAAAAAAGATTTAAACGCGGTTTATATATCCAGAACTAATCTTTTCTAGCCCTGTTGACCTTATTTTTATGAGATTATTACGTAAGACCTTTCTTGTATAAACTTTGAATAAAATTTCTAGTGTCATAATTCGTACTTCTGAGCTTACTTAACTAGTCTATAGGTTAAGCGCTTGCGCACGAGACTGATAGGTCCTGAGCTTGAATCCTTCGTAGGCGGGATCTTGGATGCGCACTGCTGAGGAAACCCATACTAGGACGAAACGGCCGTCCAGTGCTTCCAGGTTCTTCATAGTGGTCTAGCTTTAATTGGCTCGTGAATTCATCTATTAAATTAGTCTATACTAAATAATCTGTCTTCGGTTTCGTAAATAAAATCCTATTTCCATGCTCTTATAAAATATTCATATACTTAACGAGTTTCAATTGTGTGATTTGTTCCCTATTATTGTCTCTTAATATTATTCTATCTCCATATTAAGTAAATTCATTCCAGATTCGAAGTATTTACACTTGTTTCATTCCAATGATTAATGCCACGGTTTTAAGGTATGAGCAGCTCAGCAGAATCCACGAAAGGAAACAATTCATGTTATTCTACTACAATATTCGTTCTTCCTTTTTTCAGTTTTATAAATTAGAAAATTTGTATAAAAGATAGTGTCTATTATATAATAAAGTGAACGTCGGTAGAGAACTAGGTGACATTTTTAAAAATTTTATGTTTTGTTATCTTGGTCAATTTGGACAAATAATGAACAGATACAGTAATCATAAAGACTAGAACTTTAAACTACTGTAATTTTCCACTTTGTGATTTAAACAATCTTGTTGTCATACAAATTCAGATTATTCCACTTATCTGAATTCTGATTCTTTAAATTTTAATAACTAAATTAACATTATATTACATTATGTTTATTTTTACTACAATCTCTTACTGAATCTTATCTCACAGTGTACTGTAAGATATGAGGTTTAAATTGAGTCATGTAAATATGTGTAGAATACCTTCACGCAATTATCATAACCATTATGTGGTTTCAATGGAGTAGTTACATTTAGTTTTTGTCTTTTCTTAAATCAAAATAACCTTATACATTTTTCTCGAATCCTATTGTATGTTCTTAATGTTTTCTACTATCACTGATAGTGATATTACTTCTACTACTTAATAATTCTTTCTTGGTTTCCTGATGTAGTGTGCTAGTTTAATCTTCTGCATGTGTCAGGTTCTACTTTGCATAAAATCTGACTGACAAGACGAAAATAAGTTATTTTTTATCCGAATTGTGTACATTATTTATTTTGTTGATTATTCTTATTCCAATCGTTTTTCTTACTTTATTTAGATTCCAGTTTTCTTTATCAACGATATATTTCTGGTCAACCAGTTTCTGCGATTTACTATTACCTTCAATGTGGTGAGCAGTCTACGCTTAGCAATACATTACTTCATCTGTTTTATCAGATTGTAAGAGAACCCATTTTCGATAAACTACATACGGAACAACAATTGGGTGAGGAATTATTATTGAGTATGGAACGTAGTAACTATAAATACCATTGAATTATAAGAGACGCATTAAAGATATCTTAAGATATGAGTTTAAATGGTTTGAATTATTTTTTCTGGTTAGCGTTTTTTAGCGAGTTCATTTTCTACGGGATAGGATCGATAAGCCCGTGCCCTACCCTCCTCCTTTTTGCGGGCCTGGGACCGGCAGTAACCCTAGAGGAGCTCCAGGCTCCATCAGACAAGTCAAGAGCGGGACGAGACAACATTCCAGCAGATGAATTAAAAGCAGACGTAGCGGCAACTGCAAGGATACTCCACATTCTCTTCAATAAGATTTGGAATGAAGAACAATACCAACAGACTGGAAAGAAGGACTTCTGATCAAAATACCGAAGAAAGGCTATCTGAGCAAGTGTGATAACTACAGGGGCATCACTCTTCTCTCAATACCGGGAAAAGTCTTCAACAGGGTATTGTCAAACAGGATGAAGGACTGCGTAGACGCCCAACTTCAAGACCAACAGGCAGGGTTCCGTAAGGATAGATCATGTACAGACCAAATCGCAACTCTACGGATCATTGTGGAACAATCACTTGAATAGAATTCATCACTCTACATCAACTTCATTGACTACGAAAAAGCATTTGACAGCGTGGACAGAACAACGCTATGGAAACTTCTTCGACACTACGGCGTGCCTCAGAAGATAGTCAATATCATACAGAATTCATATGATGGATTACACTGCAAAATTGTGCATGGAGGACAGTTGACAAAGTCGTTCGAAGTAAAGACCGGTGTCAGGCAAGGTTGCTTACTCTCACCCTTTCTCTTTCTCCTGGTGATCGACTGGATCATGAAGACATCAACATCTGAAGGGAAACGCGGGATACAGTGGACAGCTAGGATGCAGCTGGACGACCTAGACTTCGTAGATGGTCTGGCTCTTCTGTCGCACACGCATCAACAATTGCGGAAGAAGACGACCAGTGTAGCAGCAGTGGTTCTCAACATAAACAAAGGGGAAATCAAGATTCTCCGATACAGCATAGCATGCACCAATCGAATCACACTTGACGAAGAATCTCTGAAGAATGTAAAAACCTTTACATATCTGGGCAGCATCATTGATGAACATGGTGGATCTGATGCAGATGTGAAGGCGTGGATCGGCGAAGCAAGAGCAGTATGTCTACAATTGAGGAACATCTGGAATTTAAAACAACTGTCAACTAACACCAAAGTCGGAATTTTCAATACAAATGTCAAGACAGTTCTACTGTACGGAGATGAAACTTGGAGAACTATTACAACCATCATCAAGGAGGTACAAGTATTTATAAATGGTTGTCTACGCAAGATACCCAACATTTATTGATCGGATACTATCAGCAACAGCCTACCATGGGAGAGAACAAACCGGATCTCAGCGGAGGAAAAATCAGCCAGAAGCTCCGAAAGTGGATTGCAAATAACACAACTGTGTCATAAGGCAAGCCCTCGCTTGGAATTTTCAAGGCCTAAGGAGAAGAGGAAGACCAAACAACACATTACTCCGAGAAATGGAGACAGACATGAGAAGAATGAACAACAGTTGGATCGAACTAGAAAGGAAGGCCCAGAATAGATTGGGTTTAAAGAATGCTGGTCGGTGGCTTATGCTCCCATGGGGGTCAAAGACGTAAGTAAGATATGAGTAATTCTCAATTATCTTAACTATCAAATAACTAATACGAATATGTGTCTTTGGTGACCAGTTCATACATTTCATTGGCATTTTAATCTTGTGGTGTAACACAAAAGGCTACATTACAAATATCTGAAAATAGTCCTAGTCATTTAGACTAGTGGCCACAATGCAAAGTGATCAATAGAATTTGTTCAATACTGAAAATAACTTCATCACTAATCATTGATTTATTAATTATCATCTAACTGTCCACTAGAAAAGGAATACTTGGGTATGGTGATTAAACTACGGAATAATTTAGTTTCATGAACTTTTAAATTTAAGGTTAATTTGCAGTCAACCGAACTCTGACCTCATTTCTCAATATTATCCTATGCTTTTTCAGATTCAGTGGTTTTTATGTGATCTTGCGTTTATAGTCCTGTAATACGTCATATGATGAGATCAGTCACCTGTTTAGTACTTCCTGGTTTTAAGTGGTTCAGCATTTGGTTTTACATCATAATTAAGGTTAACTTTTAATGTGGACAGAAAGTAAAGGGGTGTATTCCATTTTTATGTTTTACAGAAGGATTGTTGTTCTGTTACCGGGTAATTTTTTTTTGCATCGTTAGCCCCTGACTTTATTTCTCCATAGTTATGTCATACCATTTTGCACATTGAACTATTCATTTGTATTACGTATCTGTCCTATATTTAAGTAGTAGTATTGTAGTGAATGAAAACTTGGTGGGGATGACCAATTCATTGTTTTACGCAATTTTAAACAGTAGATTTGTAAAGTATGAAGATCGTATATTAAATACATTCTACTTCCAATTCTTGCTACATACTACTTACATCCGTCAGCATAAGTAGTGCACACCAACGACTGCCCCGACGTGCAATGTTCAGTGGTGTAGGAGTAGGTTGGAAGAAAGCTAGGGGCGGCCAGACCAAGACCTGGCACAAATCCATGAAGTCACTGACAAGTGGACTGAGTCATGTTGGTAGGTGTAGACTACCTGGTTGGGGACCACGAGATGATAGCAACCGATGGTTAGAGACCCTGAATGACATGGCTCAAAATCGTTTGCAACGGCGCAGGTGCATCCACTCTCTGTGTTCTCCCAAATTCTAATCTTCTGAATACTTCATGTCCCTTTTTTTCTCTTTCCAAATTCATTTCACTGGATTATACTCCTTGAGTAACATCTTCGAACCCTAATCTTCCTGATTACAGCTTATAATTTTACTACGTCTAGCACTACGGGATTTGAATCGACAACTGCATCTCTGTGCTAATGTGGTGTGGCAACTCGAACTGATGTACGTACGTACGAAGTTCTACGTTGTTACTGACTGACTGACTAAAATTTTACTTACATTTTATTAACCTAAAATTGACCATTCTATAGACGTTTTATTCTCTCTTGTTTTTTCATGTTCACATTGAAGGTTATATTGTACAGACTGGACTCCGACGATCCAATAAACTGCAAGGTTTTCGTATTTTAGTGCAATCATCTTATCATCCTAATAAAATTGATAAATGTATCGAAGAATTTCTACTTACTGTAAATGTGAGTGTTACTGATTGTTTTCCTTCCATCAAACTGTATACGTAATGGATTGTTGTCTGTTCTGTTCTGTTCCGTCCTGTCATTTATGCTCTCATACAATGTATACGCCTCCAATATGATGGCTTGTACTTACGTACAGACTCCTTGATACATGCTACTCACTTTTCCTTACATATTGGTATTTTAGAAAATGCTAGAAGACATGTCTGACGAAGAATTTAATGTTCATGTGCAATCCCTCATGACACATTTACTGGAAAAACCGAAAGGTATGCAAGATCGATTTGGGCGTTTATGGTCTGAAATTGCTTGTCGACATTATAATTTCAAACGAAGTAAGTTTATTAATTTTTAATGCAAACATATTTAGATCTACACAACAATCTCACTGAATACTTTTTTCATTAGTATTAACAATGGTATCGACCCACCAATACAATTCTTATGAATAAACATAGATATTTTATGTTAGAGTTATTAATATCCGTGATACGACTAATAAAATTACCGTCATATAGTGAACAAATATTTGAACATATGAAGTATGTCAAAACTGGAAAAAAGCGGTACCTCTTTAATTGATTTACACTGATTTTCTATAAGTACAAAGTAATTTTAGAAATTATTGATTGGCTAAGTTTGTTTATTTTTCATACGTTTTGACCTCCTTCATAATTGGAAATATTTGTTCTGCATAATGAGATTCTAGATCACCTACATATTTCATTAATCATATTGTATATATACTCTCAGTCAGTCAGTCAGTAACAACGTAGAACTTCGTACGTACGTACATCAGTTCGAGTTGCCACACCACATTAGCACAGAGATGCAGTTGTCGATTCAAATCCCGTAGTGCTAGACGTAGTAAAATTATAAGCTGTAATCAGGAAGATTAGGGTTCGAAGATGTTACTCAAGGAGTATAATCCAGTGAAATGAATTTGGAAAGAGAAAAAAAGGGACATGAAGTATTCAGAAGATTAGAATTTGGGAGAACACAGAGAGTGGATGCACCTGCGCCGTTGCAAACGATTTTGAGCCATGTCATTCAGGGTCTCTAACCATCGGTTGCTATCATCTCGTGGTCCCCAACCAGGTAGTCTACACCTACCAACATGACTCAGTCCACTTGTCAGTGACTTCATGGATTTGTGCCAGGTCTTGGTCTGGCCGCCCCTAGCTTTCTTCCAACCTAATCCTATACCATTGAGCATCGCACGTCGAGGCAGTCGGTCGTTGAGCATACGTAACACGTGTCCCAGCCATCTCAACTGATGAAGTTTCACTACTTCATCAATTGATTTGCCATCCTTACCTAGTACCCATTTCCTAACAACTGCGTTACTTACTCGATGGTCCCATGATATACGAGCAATGTTTCGAAGACACCTATGATCAAATACTAGTAGCCTACGGATATCCTCTACTCTTACCGGCCATGTTTCACTGCCATAAAGTGGGACGGAACGAACTGCTGCACAGTAAACACGTCATTTGGTTGATAGACGGATATCTCGCCTACGCCATAAATGACGCAAGTTGGCGAAAGCTAGTCGAGCCTTCTATATCTGTGCTGAGATTTCGTCACACACCAGACCACAAGGGCTGATGAGACTTCCAAGATAAGTGAAGCGGTCGACCCACTCAACTACTTCACTCCCTATCACTAGTTCGGGTGTCGATGTAACCCAATCCTGAAGCAACATTTTGCATTTCGAGGGAGAGAATCGCATCCCGAACATGCTTGCATTGTTGTTTAGAGTGGTTAGAAGACTCTGCATTTTGTCAGTGTCTTCACCAAATAAAACTATGTCATCTGCATATTCTAAGTCAACAAGTGAATCTCCTGGTAGAAGTTCAACCCCTGGAAATTTAAATGAGGAGAGTGTTATCTCTAAAAGCACGTCAACGACAAAGTTGAACAAAAATGGAGAGAGTGGACAGCCTTGACGAACACCACTTGAGGTAATCAATTGTGATGACAGTTCGCCATAAGCTCTCACTCTTCCAGTTGTGTTCGAGTAGAGAGCTTTTTTAAGTTTAATGTACTTCTTTGGTACTCCTTTCAGTGACAAACACTGCCATAGAACCTTACGATCAACAGAGTCGAATGCCACCTTAAGGTCGAGAAATACTACCATTGTGGGGCGTCTGAATGTGTTTCTGTGTTCTAGGACCTGACGTAGTGTGAATATCTGATCTATACAACCACGTCCAGGTCGAAAACCAGCCTGATTTTATCTAGTCTGTTCTTCACGAGCTTGAGTTAGGCGTCGAAGTATTATTGGAGCTAATATTTTAGACACTATATTAGTCAAACTGATTCCTCTGTGATTGTCACAAGAGGACTTTTGTCCTTTCTTATAGACTGGCACAATCAGTGATTGAGACCAGTCAGATGGGATTACGTCCAGTTCCCAAATTCTACCTAAGACCTCGGTTAATCTCATTGCTAATACTGGACCACCATCCTTAAAACTCTCAGGAGTGAACCTGTCAGGGCCTGCTGCTCTCCCTCGTTTCAGATTTCCTATGGCTTTTTCAACTTCGTAAAGAGACGGAGGACCTACATTAACTTGCCATTCAGGTTGACTAGAGATCGTGGGAAACCGAAGTGTGGCTGAAGGCCAGTTGAACTGATCCCTAAAGTGTTCTGCCCATCGATCCAATCTCCTGGATTGAGAATGAATGATATGTCCATCTTTCCCTGAGATTGTTTCGCTAACGGTCGGGTTCCTAATTCCGGTTTCCTTAACGAGTCTGAACAATTGTCTGCTGTTACCTATTGCCGCTGCCTTTTCCATCTCTCTTGCTTTCACTACCCACCACTGTTTATGATCATTGCGTAGACTTCTTGTCAGCTTGCGCTTAAGCTGACTCCGCTCTTCATTATGTTCAGAGCCAGGTGGAATGAGTTTCCGAGCATCTATCAGTGCGATAGATGCTGCTGAGATCCAGTGTTGCTCCCTAACCTTGTGGTTTACTTTACTAGCAGATATCACTGCTGTTTCCACAGCTTTTCGGATATTATTCCATGCTGCATCGGGGTGGGCATCACATACATGTCTGCCTAACTGTTTTCCTAGTTGTTCCTGAAATATACTCTTAGCTTGACTATCATTAAGTAGGCCGCTAAGAGGTTTCCTTGCAGCGTCTTTCCTACGTCCAGTAAGACGCAAGCAAATACGCGCTCTCACTAGAGCATGATCTGAATCTAGGCATGTGCTCCAGAATGAGTGACAGTCTTCTATCGAGCCCCTCCATCGGTGGCTGATAGCGATGTGATCTATTTGGGTCCAACGTTGGGACGAATTAGGCGGTCTCCATGTTAAAAGATGTTTTTCCTTATGCTTAAAGTTAGTATTTGCAAGGAACAGGCGGTTATCTGAGCATAGCTGCAACAGACGGTCGCCATTATCTGTTCTTTGAGCCACGACACCATAAGATCCACCCAAGTGTCTTTCCCTATCGCTTAGTTTACCTACTTGAGCATTAAAGTCACCGGCCACTATTACTACATCCGAGCACTTAGCTTTTCGGAGAAGGTCCGAAAGCTTTCTGGAAAACTCATCTTTTACATCATCTGAGCTGCAGTCAGTGGGAGAATAGGCAGAGACGGCGAAGAGGCAACGACGAGTGTCCCTATCTTTTCGGATCCTTACTGTTCCGTTTAGTCGGACAGCGCACAAACGACTGTCTACTGGGATCCACTCTAAGAGAGCTAGTTCTGCCCTAGGACTCAATGCTATACCTACGCCGACGAGGCCACGGGAAGCAGAATCAGGGCTTCCAGATACACGAAGTGTGAATCGAGTCGGTTCTTTATTTTGGCATGATGAGGTCAAGTGAATGACGCTACTCGGATCGTGTATGCGCGTTTCGGAGACGCAGCACACATCGATGGCGCGGGATTCCAAAGTCCTAGCTAAGGAGAGGTATTAGGAGGATTAGGAAGGATTTGAATGTGACCAACTTGGTCTCATGTGCTGTTACGGGTATGAGGGCTGATGTCACTTCCCGGCTGCCCACACTGTGGAAGGGTATTTCTTGAGGAACCTGAAAAGGAAATTGGATTAGTGTTGGTCTTGACGACCTGGGAGCGTGACCTCAAAGCCCAAGGGACAACTGTTTGAGGCCGGTCGCGCACGGCCTTTTTGTGGAAGGTTTTTGACGTGTTGGCTCCGTTCTTCAAAGTCTTACCGCCGGAAACGGAAATCCGTGAGATAAGGTGAGGTGTGGCATTGTCAGGGTTGACCTTCTCTAACCCCTTCCTTTCTTGTGAGAAGGCAGCATCGCTGCAGATGCTGGCTGTCCGAGGGAAACGCCTTACTACTGTGAGATCCCTCTACAGTCAGCAGTACGACTTCGCCCTCAGACCTTGATTTGCTGCTTTTAGTCTTACCGTTCTCCAATCGACCTGCCTGGCATGGTAGAACCTACAGGAATATATGTTCCAGCCAATATAGCTCGGTTGAGTCATCACGATAGGCAAGCCCGACCACCGCGTCAAGGTAACAGCTTCGGTCGGGTATATATACTCTGAACCCAACCAAAATGACTGAAGCCCATAGTTTATATATATATATATATATATATATATATATATATATATATATATTCGCTCATATAAATTATGAATCGGGATAGATTTTGATTTTGATCAAGTGAAAAACAAATTTCTTCACTGATATATTTTTATCTAATTTTCGCCAAGATGTTAATATTGAACATTTGAAAGTTTAAAAATAATGAAAGCGATTAATAATTCTTTAGATGATTTGCAAAAATTTTATTTTAATTTCTTAACTTTGTTCTCAGATGTACATGCGGTTAGTGTATTGAAATCACTCAAAAAGAATAACATTATCAATTTCTTCAAAGTATGTATAACTGAAGAAGAAAACTTTATTCACTAACACCTTCTCCTTGTTTATTTTGATCTGTTTCGTTTGACTATTTGTAATGATAAATAACAATTGCTTTATGAAAACGATTTAAAACAAGTATATGTATTTGTAGATGCCTACTCACTGGTTTAATGGTTAAGCGCTCGCGCGCGAGACTGATAGGTCCTGGGTTCGAATCTCGCGTGGGGTGAGATCATGACTGCGCACTGTTGAGGAATTCCATACTAGGACGAAACGGACGTACAGTGCTTCCAGGTTTTCCATGATGGTCTAGTTTAAATTGACTAATGATTTCAACTATTGAAATCAACTGAAATGATTGAATGTTATTGGATCAACATAAACTTAGTTTATTTCATCGAGTTTATATCATTTAGTAAACAAATGAATAGTCTGGTGATTTGATAATTCAATAGTAATTTAATAGTTGGGATCATGAGTAAATTGAAGCTAGACCACCATGGAAAACCTGGAAGCACTGGACGTCCGTTTCGTTCTATTGTGGTATTCCTCAGCAGTTCGCATCCATGATCCCGCCACGCGAGATTCGAACTCATGATCTCAAATATTAAATTACTATAATATCCACAAAACCCCTTCTGATATTAGTTCAATAGTACTTAAATTTTAACTACAGATTTAAATGTTCAAATTTCTCTCTGATATACTTAGTTTTAAACTGTCACATAGTATTACTAAATTAAAAGTGGATAGGATTGTATAGTTTATGAAATAATAAAAGATATATATCTAGGTATCATGACTGATTTACTAATCTTTGGAGTACTTCTTATTTACTGAAATACAATCAATTGAAAGTTTCATTGTAACTCATTTATAATTTAATTCTGAATATAGGAGTATATTGATCCTTCATCATGTACAAGAAAAAAATTAGTAGTTCAAATAATATCGAATGAGGAACATTTATGTGATTCAGAATTTAGTAATCATAACAAGAAGGTTAGTAAAGTTCAAACTATATATATTTCCCTGTTTGAGACTATTATGTATTTGAAATATTTCAGTTTTTTTAATTTTTTTTATCAAATATAGTTTTTTATGAAATTCATTAATAAAGAGCTTTCAATTATTTGTCTTATAAACTATTTGAGATGCACTTCTCACTTATAGGTACCGTAGAATCTAGCACAAATTTGAATTTCCTTAGATTCCCAAATCCTATCAAGATAACCAGAATGATCTAACAGGATAGTAATCTCGTTAGTCGAAGTAAACGTATCATTAATAATACAAAACATAAAAAAAACAATGTTGGGTCTCTAGACGTGATAGGTGGCTTTGATGATTCCTTGAATAACATGCTGTAAACATGTGTTATATACACTAACCGATTAGCTTTCAGAGATGATAGACGATGTTTTCATAATCCTTATAAGATAATTCTCTATTAATTTTAGCATATATTGTACTAGCTTCGAGAATCTCAGCGTCATATAGTCCATAGGTACACTTGTTTGTTGTATACGGACTCATTTTCAAAGTAAACCTCTTTTCATTCTTCCCGTCGTTTGTTTTCAGCTAAAAGTTCAAATGCAGTAGATATTTGATAACTAGAAAGCGTATAGGAAGTCAATACCCAATCGATTGAACATATGATGTTTCAAGAGGGTAGAAAATGGAGCCATATACGTAATTACAACTAATTCAGTGGATCACATAGGCCTTGAAATAAAAAGGATACTCCAAAACACTAAGCGTTCTAATTAATAGTTGATGTCATCTTATAAACAGGGATATTGAATCATTCAGTTCGTGCGGCTAGTTTTCCAGAGCTACCAATCGGGCAAGTGATTAGTGGTAGTCTTACAGCCAAATTATTTGTTTTAACAGATCATTATGTTAATTAAATCAATAACCAATTCAGGTGCGTTTGTGAAAAGTGTACAACCTTTCACTGAGCAAGTTACAAAAATTTACAATCAGAAACATTGTGATGACTGGCAATATACATTGAAAAGAATAAATATTATTCAGATGTCGACTTCCAAACTATTTATATTATCTAACTAGCGATCATTCAATATTTATCGTCAATATCGATCCAGAAATAAGAAACAGAAACTCGCTGAAATACTTTTTGCTGAGAATTCTATATTTTATCAAAAATATAGTATTCAAAAGAGCTAATAATAATAGCAAAAAACTAAATTTAATGAAACAATTGCTCCTTTTCGCTAGGTTTGAGTTCTTTTCAGATAATCGAAAGTTGTACCAAAACCAATCATCATTTCAATCTAATCGATTGTATTTAAAATCAATCCAAACATTAGCCTTTTCTCAGTTTATACTTTACCATTTGTTGTTTATTATTTTTTTGATTGTTATATAGATTTAAGCGAATCTCCAATGCTTTTTACTTTGATTTAGGTAGTCGTCTTAAAAAATCATACGGAATTGAAACGTTACTGTCCGCTGAGTTCTTTAACAAAACCATTCATGATGTTCACTTCCAAATATGAAGGGATATCACTACGATTTTAATCCGGTTATCTGGATTGCAGATTTAGAAATATTCAATATACGCGTCACTTTTTGAGATTGCCAAAACGTGTCATTTTTCATGCACTAAACGCTTTTGATTTTTTAATGTCTTTACTTTTCTCGTGGAAAGATTTGACACAAAGCATGTTTTATAAATCTCGCTTTCATAAGACAGAAAATATTTAATTACGTATATGCTTTTCTACTACTTTTTGGTGCAGCTATTCATTTGACTGTTTTTTATACTTTTCCTTGTGAATTAACTCATAATTATTTCTGAATATATTTTGGTACCTCATCTCTGTAAAGTAACTGGAATTCTTCATGGTGATTTTCAATCATTTCAGTGTATAATGATCTAAAATATTCTTTAAATACATTTATGAAATTACTAGCTATTTTTTATTATATGTTCGTTGATATGTGATGACAAATGAATAGTTGGGGAAACTTCCGTTTTATTTCTTCATAAATTTTTTTTTCTTTTTTTAACTTCTGAATCAATAAAAACTTGTGGCTTAATACTGTATATTTCAATGTTTTAAACTCTCGTCTTTGAGAACAATAGACTTTTAACGTTAATGTGAATGTTTATGTATGTCACTACGGTTGGTCAAAGAAAAATATATATAATAAACATTTTTTCATGGACTTTCACCATACGTGTTAATTGTTGCGTTCAAAGTCTTAAGATTTACATTTTGGGAAGTGTGGAATAGGATAGATGTTACAGAAAGTATTGTCTATTTATTGCTGGTTCAGTGTTTTAGGAGTAAGTGTACTTGCTGAAAACATCAGGCTTTTACTATTTTTTATTTGGATCTACATAGGGAACTTATCACCACACGACCCTACAAGCATAAGTTTATATCTTCGTGCTTTGCATATTCGCAGAGCAACGTACATCGTGATAATGAGTGATTATGAACTCCGTTTTGTGTCTCAACGTCGAAGCAAGCATTAATTAAGGATGAGAAATAGGTGTTCCATAAACTTATAAAAGTGGAATCTATCCCACAATTTATTAATTCACTGAGCTTCGAAATGACAATAGTAGGTGCTATACATACTTATGACTAGAACAATAACCTAACCTGACTAGTAGTAGTAATCAAAGAGGATAGCAGGTTGAAAAATTTCAACTGTTCATTAATATAATTGATTTATACTGCTACAGAGGTCATAAAATCCCAACAAAATGCTTTAACAGTTTGAACTTACATATAGACTAGCATACTGTGCATTTAGCTAGATATTGTAGAGTGAACGGTATAGCTAGTTTAGGAATAATCTGAGTTTCATGCTCTCTGGCTTGTAGCAGTTTAATGAACTGGTTCTGCGCCCTTGAGCTGGTAAAACCAGCATCTATTTCGAAAAGCTAAGTAGCCATATATTTGAGGGATCGTCAGTTAATGCTTAAAGCATGCAAGATAAGAGTCGAATTTGAAAATCCTATCACATACGTGGCGATATGTAGTGTATATATTTCACCCCATGACTTGAAGCTGTTTGGAACGTTACTTCCAATTTCTCTAAGAGAAGCTTTTGTACTTAATTAACGAGGTCAGTTGTTCCCTCAATCTTTCAAACGCTACTGATCAGAAATGGAGTTATCTGCACCTTGGGATCTGCATCTCGATGGTAGTAGAGAGTTCTAGGTTAAAATATGGCATAATTCTCATTTTAGTTTCTCAGCAAAAAATTATTTAAGCTGAAGAGAAGAAGGACAATAGTAAAAGTGAGCCAACGGCTCAATAAACCTATAGAATGAACTTATCTGATAAGGTAATCAATAACAGTCGGCAATAACACAAGCAAGGAATGAGACGAATTGATAATGGGAACTATAAGTTGATAGCGTTAAATTCCAGATGTCTTTTAAACAACACTGAGGGCAAACAAAGAACGGTGTACTACCACTTAGAAGAAAAAATTCTTCATTCAACAGAGCAAAATAGGTAATATAGAGAAGATGGTCTGACAGAGCTTCCACTTCTAAACATTGGAATCTCTAGACTCTATGCAATTTGTTTAGCCATTTCTGACTAACTGAGAGTTTGACAAGAAATACAGATTTTCATGTAGGAAAATTGTGCAAAGTTTGGGTGATTATGGAAAACGCTGATGGTTAGAGTGCGCTAGATAGTTAAGAGCAGAAGCAGTATCACATTTATTGCTGGTCAACAGTCATGCAGTAAGACTGTTCTTGACGATTGTTTGTTAAACCGCGGTGTCACTGAGCCGTTAACACCTAAAAACTCTAAATACAGGCAGAATATTCAAACTGGCGAGTGCGTGAGCACATTTTTTCACTGTTGAGTGTTGGGTATATTTTTCTTCCTATAACTAAAGAGTAATTTTACGAAACCGTTAAACGTCTGTGAGCAAAGCCACTCTTGACGGTGAGACACACACCATCTGGTTAGTTGTGTAAGCATCAGTATCACAGATGCAATGATCAATGTACATCGGGCCACCAAAGCATCCATTAGTATCGCAGTAGACAAATCGGACTCAGCAATATGAGTAGTTTTACCACAGTGAGTAAATAACACCGAAAAATCCTGTGCAGTCTCGAGATGAATATGAGAAATTGAACTGAGGTACAGCACTTTCGGTAGAGAACTCCTACTTATAAATTGTGTTGTACGGCATTCTCAAGGCTTTGTGGAAATTCACTCTGTTTACCGCCCGTAAACCTCCAAATAATTCTGTCGACTCATCTTCAGACAAGTTCTCGACACGACAATCTGGACAACTGAACAACGTCTCGCAATTTACTTCACATATTCAACGTATTTCAGGAAAAACAATGTAGTGGCAGACGCATTGTCTCGTATCACTTCCTTGAACGAGTTTCGACCTCCTTGAACCCGATCAGCTTTAAAAGCAAGACGATGCTCGTCAGCACGGGGTACTCTCGACAACCCCAAAACTACCGATCGAACAGATGGCAACAGTTTATGAAATTGTGCTATGCAGCACGTCTTCCGATAAAGGTAGTTCGATCGTGGCAAAACACTATGGATGCCATTTCTTCAATTCGTTGCTCCAACTTCCTCTTCAGCGTGTTCGAGTGACTATCAATTTCGAAGCAGAACGATTTTGCTGGCCTGCTATAAACAAGGACGTGAGGGAGTAAGCACATTCATGTGTGAGCTGCCAGAAATCTAAAGTGACTGGACACAACAAGTGTCAACTGGGATCTTTCGCGCCTACAAACTCTCGTTTAGACTATTTTCGCCTTGATTTGTCAAGACCCCTAACAAGTTCAAATAGACACTTTTATATCCTAACGTGTGTGGCGGCGCTTCAGGAGGTAACGAACGCGAATCGCAGGTCAAAAAGCCAAAACCGTGGTAGTACCACACTTTCTTCATCACGGTCTGGGACACTATCTGAAAGCCTGCTCAGTGTATTGCTTTAACAAGACGCGAATTAATATATGGTTTACCATTTTTTGCCTGAAACATTTAAAATCACTAACTTCTCGCCTTTACAGTTATAATTGATTTAAACATCATCATATGTCCCTCTTTCCTCCTTTACAGGGATAAGATCGTCTTCACGAATTCGAGACGCATATACTACTCAAGTGATAATGTGTGTAATATCTAGCATTTTTATGTGACTTAAGTGAATGAAAGCAAAAAAAGTGAGCACATTTTATCTTGAGGACATAAATTAGTAGCAACATTTTAACTTACTTTGGTTTTTTCACCAGGTAAGTTAATGCTTCTTTGATACCTTTCAGGTTGTCCTACATGGTAGTTTCTTCTATCAATAGATCTTTTGAAGCTTGAAACATTTTGTTGAAAGTCATCTTGAAATCGTTGAGTTTGTTAGTATCTCGAAGGAAGACTATATTGAACTTTTGTAATACAATTCCCCCAGTTGTTCAATGTTTCTTAAGCTTCGGTTTTATCTTGGCTACAACAAGGCGGTGATCTGAAGCTTTGTCAGCTCCTCTCCTGGTTCTCACGTCTTCCATTGTCCTCATGAATTTTTTATTGATATAAATATCATCTATCTGGTTCTCTGTGGTGTGGTTCGGTGAGATCCATATTGCTTTGTGTACGTGTTTGTGTAAGGATACTGTGCATGGATTTGCAGAACCCTCTCACTATTTTCGTTTATCTCCCCCAGTCCGTATTATCCCCTGATATCTTCATAACCGGTGTCGTCCATTCCGACTTCGGCGTTTAGACCTCCCATCAGAATGGTGAGGTTTTCGTGCCTGTCAATCAACCTAAGCTGTTACAAGGTCCTTTCTTAGGCACTTCGCTATGACTGATTACAGCTTCTCATGGAATTAATCTTTATTGTCATCGCTGCTATCATTGGTGGGTGCACAACAATCGTTGTGATTCCTTCCTTCTTTGTTTTGAATGATACTTTGATGATTCTAGATCTATGAGATTCCTATCCTATAAGTACATTTCGCGCTTTTTGGACAGCATTATAGCAACTACCTGAGTGTGTGAATCACTTTCCTCTTCGTGACCGGATTACAGCAGCATATCTCTCGTATCTAGCCTTTGCTGTCCAGCTTGGATCCAATCGGTTTCGCTGATTCCATGTACTGTCAACTTTTTCCGTTGCTATTTCGCTGGTCTTCTCGGTCTCAAGCATTATCCGGACGTTCTATGCACCTATAAAACTTGTTGCTCTGATGGTTAGAAGGGGCATCGGCCTCGTGACTTCCGAAGAACCTCGGCTTTCATCCTGAGACGTAATAATACTTCCTTCAACTCCAATGGTATAGTTTAAACATTTTACTTTGTTTAATCTGGTTAGCGCTCTTTAGCAGGATTTTTTACGCGGTGGAATTGACGACCTCATGCCCAACCCCCTTCCTTTGCTCGGGCTTGGCACCGATAGTAACTCTAGAATAGGTACAGGCAGAGTCAACAAAGTTGGGAAGAGTTTCTGGAGTGTTCACAGAAGATAAGTTACTAGAAAAATTCGTCAAGATTTCATCCGCCAAGCGGTCAAAATACTCATATTATGCAATACTGAAGACCCTAAGGTATCTCGTGCAATGTTTTTCCGCTGAAGAATTATCGTTATGCAAATTGTACGGGAAAAGACGAACCCTGACCACACTAACTCTGATATTAAGGAATGAAGATGCGTCAAGCAGTCCTTGAAGCTCAAAAACATTGACTCAACAAGTGGTGAGCTAGCCAAGAAGGACGGAGATCCTGGACCCCGGCTGATAAAGATAACCTTCCCATCTTATTATATGGCGACTGCAACTTTGGAAGCATGTCGTGCAAACAGACGTCGGTTGTCAACTGATATCCATATGCATCCGGATAGGTCATTTAACAACAGGATCAAATACAAAAGCAAGTTGGAGCTCACCAGTCGATGTGTGGACTGCCTAGCTCACAAAAAACGTGGAAATAATATGGGCTACCAACTCTGAAAACCCTGTGCAGGTAGGCTACCTGTCTATTCATATGGATCATACAAACAAACAGGACGGGGAAGCTAACACGTTTTAAATCGAAAGCATAAAG